ATGTGTGATTGGAGTTGGCAAACAGCAAACCTCGATCGGAGCAACCCTACCTTAAACACTTCCTTCTTAATAAATGGAATTAATAGATAAATAATATATATGTACATGATTCACTTAGCTGGTTATCTTAACCCAATATAATTACAATAATTCAAATTGAGCACTGTTCATTTTCATTAATGTTATAGGATTGTATGTTAAATATTGCACCGTTATACACCATATAAACATGTGTTTTATCAAATAGTGCTGAAAAAATCATAGGTCAACAACCAAACATAGCATCAGCCTTAACATGGCTGATACTATGTTAAGACAATAAGACAGACACTCTCCAGTTAATTTCTTCCAACTTCTAGGAAAACTCATTCTTTTAAAGGTTTGGGGCATCTAGAAACTGCATGACTTATCCATCCATCCATCCATCCATCCATCCCTCCATCCCTCCCTCCATCCATCCATCCATCCATCCATCCATCCATCCATCCATCCATCCATCCATCCATCCATCCATCCATCCATCCATCCATCCATCCATCCCCATCCATCCATCCATCCATCCATCCATCCATCCATCCATCCATCCATCCATCCATCCATCCATCCATCCATCCATCCATCCATCCATCCATCCATCCAGTCAGTCAGTCAGTCATTAATTTTCTTCCGGTTATCCGGGGTCGGGTCGTGGGGGTAGCAGCTTCAGAAGGGAGGCCCAGACTTTCCTCTCCCCAGCCACTTCTTCCAGCTCTTCTGGGGGAACCCCAAGAGGTTATAAGGCCAGCCGAGAGACACAGTCCCTCCAGCGTGTCCTGGGTCTTCCCCAGGGCCTCCTCCCGGTGGGACTTGCCCGGAATACCTCACCAGGGAGGCATCCAGGAAGCATCCTGACTAGATGCCCTAGCCACCGCAACTGGCTCCTCTCGATGTGGAGGAGCAGCGGCTCTACTCTGAGTCCCTCCAGGATGACTGAGCTTCTTTAAGGGAGAGCCCACCCACCCCATGGAGAAAACCCATTTCGGCTGCTTGTATCCACAATTTTGTTCTTTTGGTCTTGACCCAAAGCTCATGACCGTAGATGAGGGTAGGAACATAGATCGACCGGTAAATCGAGAGCTTCGCATTTTCACTCAGCTTTCTCTTCAACACGACTGACCGGTACAGCGCCCGCTTCATGGCAGACGCTGCGCCAATCCGCCTGTCAATCTACCGCTCCCTTCTTCCCTCATTTGTGAACAATATCCCAAGATATTTGAACTCCTCCACTTGAGGCAGGAGATACTCCCCCGACCTGGAGAAGGGACTCTACCCTTTTCTAGCTCAAGACCATGGCATCGGATTTGGAGGAACTGATCCTTGTCCCAGCCGCTTCACACTTGGCTGCGAACCGCTCCAGCGAGAGCTGCATATCACGTCCTGATGAAGCCAACAGAACTACATCATCAGCAAAAAGCAGAGATGTGATCCTAAGGCCACCAAAATGGACCCCCTCGAGGCTGCGCCTAGAAATTTTGTCCATAAAAGTAATGAACAGAATTGGTGACAAAGGGCAACCCTGAAGTGAAACTCCCAACTCCCACCGGAAACGAGCCCGACTTATTGCCGGCAATGCGGACCAGACTCTGACACCGGTCATACAGGGACCTGACAGCCCGTATCAAAGGGCAGGGTACCCCATACTCCCGGAGAACCCCCCACAGAGCTCCCCGAGGGAAATGGTCGAACGCCTTCTCCAAGTCCACAAAACACATGTGGACAGGTTGGGCGAACTCCCATGCACCCTTCAGGACCCTGCTGAGGGTGTAGAGCTGGTCCGGTGTTCCACAACCAGGACAAGCATAGCAAATCAGTAAGGATATAATAAATGAAAATTAAATATAAATGATACAAAACAATTTAAAACCTGCCTGCAGCAGCCTGCCCTGAACTTCCCGGGCCTCCATATGCTCTCGCAGACCAAACAATGGGCACCATCGCATTTTTAAAAACTCAAATCCCTTAGTCCAAGAATGACTGGAAGGAGGAAAAATACAAAGGGAGACATAACTTCAATGAAAGCCGCTAGTGGTGTTGTGAGGCCCCCACAGCCAAGCACCGCTCTGGCATATTGGTGACCGCGGGGGTTCTAGCACCACCGCCTGCCCACCACCGCAGAAGCTTTCTCGCAGTTTCCACGCCTGTCCACCAGGCGATGTGCATCGATGCGTTCAGCGGTACTCCCCGACGACGGACAAAAAAATTTAGTGCAGATCGGTGGATGTAGCGAGGAAATGTATCGGACGGATTAACCTAGGGGCCGCAGCGAAGTGAAATTACATTTCAATGCTGTCGGGCTCAATAGAGGTGAACAAAGGTCCAATTTGGCGCCAGTCCGATGATCTATGTATGATTTAAAGACGATTGTATGCACATGGCGAGGGACTGCAGTTTGCCATTTTGCCACCCACACACGGTTCAGCCAGCATTGACAGAGTTAATCATCATTTTATCTCAGGTTGCACAAGATTAAACTCATATAAATAACACAGTAAAAGTAAGACATACAGCAGAAGAAACAGGTGACCTCCTGTTGGAAGTGGGCGGGGCTAAGGTGATGGCATCAATTGAACATGACAATGTGATCAAGACTGGTCTGTAGAGAGACATAGGAAGTCTGACACAGCTGTGACCTTGCATGCAGAAGTTGTTGAACCTTGATATTTCATGGCGAATATTCAAAGTTTGACGCTTAACCATGCCCACATGCTTTGATATACGAGAAATCCTTTGATAACTTTTCCCCTTTCATGCCTCAACTGTGTGCTGAGTGATCGTGAAGTCTGTATCTGAAAAACTAACTGTTTGTATCAAATTAAAAACGCTATATTGCTCTTCTTTGGCCAAACCTCAGGCTGCACACTAATAATGTTTATGGCCAGCTGCCATTTATAGACTCCATGTATCTTTCCAAAGGTTGAACACTGATCCTCCAAAGTCACTTAATTATTAAATAGAATCCATTAATTTGACTGGGACCATTCACAGGACCAAACTCTGTGAATTTGACTGAGAACATTATTGAACATTATTGAAAAAAATCACAGCATTTAATTATTTTCAATTTATTTGTATAGCATTAATTCACAACATATGTCACCTGGAGGCACTTGTAAAAAATAAAAATAAAACAACCCAATCATTCATGTAGCATCATGCAGACCAAGGAAACAAACATGAAGGAAGTTGTGGAAAAGTTTAAAGCAGGTTTAGGTTCAGGCCAAACATGGGATCATAGCTCATGATCCACAGAAGATCTACAAATGCTTGTGTATTTGTAGCTGAATCATTGAGTCATCAATGAAACAGCTTCATTTTAAGCTTCATTGCAAAGGGTGCCAGTACTCAAATAAATATGTTTCTTTGTTTTCTATTTGATACATTTGGCAAAAACTAATTTCATCCTCTTTATTATAATGAGATAAAGAGGATGATTTTGAGGAAAGAGGTTGATTTTATGCCATTTTGAACAAGGCTGTAATGCAACAAAATGTGGAAAAGTGAATAATGATTATCTTTAATGATTTCCATCATTAAAGATAAACATAAAATTTGTTTATCTTATGGGTTAATGTGATCAAAAAACTGACAAAAAAAGTATGACCAAAAATAAAATAGAATAATTATTAAATGACCTCACCAAGAGACAGACTGATGGCTGGGTCGTAGTATCTCTTAATCTGTACCTCTTGTGGCATGTTCTTGGTATTCAGTGGTAGTGATGTGCCAGAAGGGCTCCAGAGAAAAGGAAAAGCATTTTTTTTTTGCTGTGCACACATATAGAGTTTATGATGATGCCACTGTTGGCTATAACTCGAGTAGACTTAGTCATTTGAGGGCTCAGGTTGCTTTCTATGGATGTTCTGGGGGGACATGCTTAGTAATAGTATTTGCTGAAACATATATGTGCAGGAACTTTAGCCTTATAATGTTTGGAAACATTCAGTTTTTATACCTACAATGGATTAATTTTATTTTGTAGGGAACATCCCTTAAATTTGCATTAAAAGGTATTTTTTCCTTGAAAAATGTCATAGAGGTAATAGAAAAACTGCTTCTATTTTATGTTGCTTGAGTCCTAAAAAGATCTTGATGATGAAAATCTGTAAAAGTGAGATGTTATTTTAAAAGCAGCTGAAGTCTAAATGAACAGAGGTAGATATGAGACATATTTGCTTGCTGTGACTGTCAGCTGCTTTCAAGCCCAAAACAGGGTGGAAACCATTTGCAGATGTTTTTGCAAAACTACTTGTTGATTCGCTTTTTCTAAAGAGCATCAAGGGTGATGTGGTTCTCCAGTTGACCAGTCTGCTCAGATGACCTCTGCTTTTGAGAGCTAAAGGACACCTGAGAGAAAAGTGCAACTACCATTCAGCCGTATGCTGATGTCCTGAGGTCAGTTTTTCTGTTTGATGGAGAAAGAAAAAGAAGCAGAGATGTAAGGCGGAGAGTTGACAAGGCAGCAGTCCCTTGTACTCGTGGCCTTGAAGGATGAATCACTCAGCCTTTTAAATGCACCTTTTCAGTTTGTACTTCTGTCAACAAACTGCACTAAACTAACATGGTGATTCTTCAATCCTCAAAACTGTTCATTTTCAAAACCTCCATCTAAACGCCAGCAGCTTGCAAATAGAGCCTGTAATGCAGAATTGCAAAATAGGTGGAAACACGTGGTTAGCGTAACCAAAATAATGTTGCAGCCATTCAAAGGTGAATTTAAATCGAAGTTGAGTCATAGGAAATAAAATGCAGCGTTACTTATGGACCGCTCCTCCAGCTCTGCCTTGAGGATTAACTAAACTCTGTAATTACAGTTATGATGACATTTTAGAATTTTATCATGTCATGTTCATGTTTGTTTCATATTCTCATATTCTAAATGAGATATATGCACTGTATATACTATACACTGTAATCTTCCATAGCATCTGATGCCCTTGTTTCCATTTTTCCATCAATGTTAGGCTTTCTCGTGGTGGCCAGAACTGTTGGCCGAGCATGCTGAGAGCTTCCTGTCTCTCTACAGAGCAGACATGGATTCTGCTCTACAGGCCCAACCCACCGACTCCTGGAACAGCTTCCCACTATTCCAACTTCTGAACAACTTCCTTCAAGCAGACTGTGAGTCTTGAGTTGTTTTCAAACCTCTCTATACACGGACATATGTCTGAACCAAGCTGCTGCTTCAGTGGACAAGAGAGAAAAAAACTGGTGAGGGAAAAGGCAAATTATTTGTCTCAATTTCCAAAAACAGAAGTCCAGCCTGAATAATGCCAGACGCTTTTTAATTGCCACACATATGGTTGAGCTTCAACTTGTTCAGAGACAATCAACAATGTATGACTGACAGTTTGTTGCCAAAAGTTTTTGTTCACCTGCTTTGTTCCATTGACTCATTTTTATTTAAGTTGACTTTATATCTAAATGGGAAGGACTATTAAGCATGGACAGTTTATTAATCATGTCTGGCTGTCATTTAGAATAGAATAGAATAGAATTCAACTTTATTGTCATTGCACTGTCACATGTACAAAGCAACGAAATGTAGTTTGCATCTATCCAGAAGTGCTATACAGGATATAAATATTTATAAACAGTTGTACAAGATATAAACAGATATTAATATTGATGTGCTATAATAAAATGTTTTGTACAAATATAAACATATATATATATATATATATATATATATATATATATATATATATATATATATATATATATATACCGACTCAAAAATGGGGCCAACATCAGTCACCTCCTCTACATGGATGACATCAAGCTGTATGCCAAGAGTGAGCGAGACATCGACTCACTGATCCACACCACCAGGATCTACAGCACTGACATTGGGATGTCATTCGGACTAGAGAAGTGTGGTCGGCTGATCACAAAGAGGGGGAAGGTGATCCACACAGAAGGAGTCTCACTCCCACAAGGAACAATAGCAGACATAGAGGACAGTTACAAGTACCTAGGTATACCACAAGCAAATGGCAACCTCGATGAGACCACAAGGAAAGGAGCCACAGCTAAATACCTCCAACGAATAAGGCAAGTCCTGAGAAGCCAGCTCAATGGCAAGAACAAAATCCGTGCGATAAACAGCTATGCCCTGCCAGTAATCAGATACCCTGCTGGAATAATCAGCTGGCCAAAGGAGGAGATAAAAGCCACAGATATTAAGACTAGAAAGCTACTAACCATGCATGGAGGGTTCCATCCCAAATCCAGCACCCTGAGACTGTACACGAGCCGCAAGGACGGAGGCAGAGGACTAGTGAGTGTGAGAACCACTGTCCAGGACGAAACAACTAAGATCCATATATACATCAGGGACAAAGCCTCAACAGACAATGTGCTCAGTGAATGTCTCAGACAACAGGGAACGGAGGTTGAGGTGCCAGAGATACCATCATGGGAGGACAAGCCCCTACATGGGATGTACCACCAGCAAATAACCCAAGTGGCTGATATCAGTAAATCCTACCAATGGCTGGAAAAAGCTGGACTCAAGGACAGCACAGAGGCCCTCATCCTGGCCGCCCAGGAACAGGCCCTAAACACCAGAGCAATAGAGGCCCAGATCTACCACACCAGACAAGACCCAAGGTGTAGGTTGTGCAAGGAGGCCCCTGAGACAGTCCAGCACATAACAGCAGGGTGCAAGATACTGGCAGGGAAAGCCTACATGGAGCGACATAACCAAGTGGCAGGCATAGTGTACAGAAACATCTGTGCAGAATATGGACTGGAAACCCCGAGATCAAAGTGGGAAACACCCCCAAAGGTGGTGGAGAACGCCAGAGCTGAGATCCTGAGCGACTTCCAGATCCAGACAGACAGAATGGTAATGGCGAACCAACCAGACATTGTCGTAGTGGATAAACATCAGAGGAAAGCCGTTGTGGTAGATGTAGCAATACCAAGTGATTGGAACATCAGGAAAAAGGAGCATGAGAAACTGGAGAAATACCAGGGCCTCAGGGAAGAACTGGAGAGGGCCTGGAAGGTGAAGACCACAGTGGTGCCTGTGGTCATGGGGGCCCTCGGGGAAGTAACCCCAAACTGGAGCAGTGGCTACAACAGATCCCAGGAACAACATCAGACATCTCAGTCTAGAAATGTGCAGTCCTTGGCACAGCCAAGATACTGCGCAGAACCCTCAAGCTCCCAGGCCTCTGGTAGAGGACCCGAGCTCAGAGGATAAGAACCACCCGCGGTGGGTGAGAAGGGAATTAAAAAAAAAAAAAAAAAAAATATATATATATATATATATATATATATATATATATATATATATATATATATATATATATATATATATATATATATATATATATATTTGCACGGGAGTTGCAATAGAAATTTTGTTGAATCCTGTTCAATGACAATAAATGCTATTCTATTCTATTCTATTCTATATATATATATAAGTTTTTTATAATACAGGATAAATAATGGCAAATTAGATTTACAGATTATATGAAGATTTTATACAGATCGTGTATGTGAGGGGAACAGTCCAAGGATGGGGGGAACAGTCCTTATAGTTTGTGTCAGGAGGCGTTCAGGAGCGTGACAGCTGTGGGGAAGAAGCTGTTCCGGTGCCTGTTGGTTCTGGTCCGTAGGCTTCTGTAATGCCTCCCAGAGGGCAGGAGAGAGAAGAGCGTGTGTGCAGGGTGAGTGAAGTCCTTGGTAATTTTCCAGGCCCTTTTCAGACACTGCTTCCTGTAGATGTCATTGATGGCAGGGAGCGATGCCCCGGCGATGTGCTAGGCAGTTTTCACCACCCTCTGCAGCGCCTTCCGGTCGGAGACAGAGCAGTTCCCATACCAAACTGTGATGCAGTTAGTGAGGATGCTCTCAATGGTGCAGCGGTAAAAGTTGGTGAGGATCTCTGAGGACAGGTGGTTCTTCTTCAAGGTCCTCATGAAGAAGAGGCGCTAGTGCGCTTTCCTGACGAGTTTGGAGCAGTTGGTCGTCCAGGTCAAGTCCTCAGAGATGTGGACTCCCAGGAACTTAAAGCTGTTCACACGCTCCACCGCTATTCCCTTGTTTTGGATGGGTGGGTGCAGGTTCCTCCTGAAGTCCACGATGAGCTCCTTGGTCTTCTCGGTGTTCAGCTGCAGATAGTTCTTGTCGCACCACTCAGCCAGACGGTCCACCTCCTCCCTGTAGGCGACCTCATCGTTGTCTCTGATGAGGCCGATCAGCGTGATGTCATCTGCAAACTTGATGATGGCATTAGAGCCATGGACAGGTCTGCAATCGTGGGTGAAGAGAGAGTAGAGGAAGGGACTCATCACACAGCCTTGTGGCACTCCAGTGTTTATGATGATGGTGGATGAGAAGTGATTGTCCAGCCGGACGTGTTGGGGTCGACTGGTCAGGAAGTCGAGCAACCAGTTGCACATGAGTGAACTGATGCCGAGGTCTGTGAGTTTGGCAATGAGTTGTGATGGAATGACAGTGTTAAATGCTGAACTAAAGTCTAAGAACAGCATTCTGGCATAAGTGTTCTTGTTGTCCAGGTGAGAAAGGACAGAGTGCAGCGCTATGGAGACCGCATCCTCTGTGCTTCTATTCTGCCTGTATGCAAATTGGTGGGGATCCAGTGTGGGGGGGAGACAGGATCTGAGGTGTGCTAGGACCAGCTGCTCCAAGCACTTGGTGATGATGGGAGTGAGGGCTACCAGACGATAGTCATTAAGTCTGGTCAGGTTGAAATTCTTAGGAATTGGGACGATGGAGGTAGACTTGAAGCAGGTCGGTACCACGCCGCGGGCCAGGGACAGGTTAAAAATGTCTGTCAGCACTTCTGGCAGCTCCCCAGAGCACGCTCTGAGGACACGTCCAGGTATGCCATCAGGACCCACAGCCTTGTTGGATTTAATCCTGCTCAGAGCCGCTCCTACATCAGTGGAGAGGAGAGTCAGTGGCTGTTGATCTGGAGTGATGGCTGTCTTAATTGCAGTTGTAGTGTTCCCTCTCTCAAAACGAGCATAGAAGTTGTTAAGCTCGTTGAGGAAGGAGACATCAGCGGAGGCGGTGGAGTTCTTGTAATCTGTGAGAATCTGATTTATGATATATTATTACTTTTTGTCAAAATATGGTGAACATATTGGAGGCACAATTAAGAATAGTGCCTCCAAACATCATTTCATGATCTCCTGCATAAAACAAGTTGATGTTATAAGAAACAGATAAAACCCCAATATGCTACCCTAAAATGTCTGTTACTGTCTAAATACACTAACCTACTGGAGAAATAATGACTAAGCTCTATTTTAGGTATTAATGATTGTTCTTTTTTTTTTTTTTTTTGTAGTGTCCATATTTTTTTCCATGGCTTACAACTTTCCAAGACTGTAATGTCAGACTGTCCCAGTGAGCGTGAAAGCATACAGTTCACTGAGACCTACATATTTGATGCATATGTAGGCCCATTCAGTGTTTGTAAACAAAGACAGCCATACGTTGTGGCCACAAAAGTATGGCCGTTTATACATGGCTGTAAAGCTACACTACCACATTATCCGCAAATAATACTTTAAAAAAATAAACTTTAATAAGTTGGAATTGTCGTCCTGATCTGTAAAACTATTTTTTTTCATCTACACTATGTTTTATTTGTGTCAGTGACTTACACAATCTTAAGAAAATTACTTGGACATTCATACTGATGATAAATTTCTGACCACAGCTTTATTAGCTGCTTTATCTGTAGTTTTGCATGGTCTTTTTTTCCTTCTTATATCTACATGTTTGAACACAAAAAGCTTAGTAGTTTATGACGGCAAATTTAACACAACAGTATTTAAAGCATGTTTCAAAAAAAACTTCTAAATAAAAGAATTGATGTCAAGGAAAAACTTTTTCCTGACTCTTAGGTACTGATACAAAACAGCAGGTGCAAATAAAAAACTACTGTGGATCAAAAGGAGGTATTTGTGAGCAGAGAACCCTCTGGAAAGAATCCAACAAAGCAACGCTACATGATTTCAGGGATAGTGAAATTGCTTGGCCCACTTATTTTTGTAAGAACTTTTTCTTTCCTCATAAGTCAAGGTCCGGACATAGTGGAAGAGAACAAAAACCCAAAACACCGCAGTTTGAGAAATATCAACATTGCACTAACATAGTTTTATCCCGAGAAAACCAATTTCAGTGCTCATTTTTGACTGATGGAAAACAGATCCGGGCTCATTGAATTTGTATCAAGTGGTTTGTCTTTGAGCCAGCAAAGATCTGGCGAGCTGCAAGGCGTTATTTAACATGGCTGCTGCCCAAGTACCTCAGCTACACTAACAGACAGGCAGCCAGATAGACAGACAGCCCAGGGGCAATGTTAGGAACAGAAAAACAAAACAAAAAAAAAATCTCGCAACATTTTGTAAAGAAGCAACAAATCTTTTGTAGCCCATAGTTTAAATTCTGTCTAATTACCGTCTTCTGTTCAGGCTGTAATTATTCCATGTGTCACAACACAAACCATTTTGATTTGGAATGTAATGAGGCAATCGAAAAGACAAAACATGGCCAAAGCTAAAGCATACATTTGACTTCTCTTGTATAAATTATGTCCTCTATCTTATAATTATGAACATAATAAGATAAAAACTTGCATTTTGAATTCAGTTAAAATAACAGATATAAATAAATCCATATTTTTTGTTACTTTTAATACAGATTTATTTTTGTAAATACCAGGTGTGACCTTTAGTCAGCCAATCTTTGGTGACTTAGTGTAACTATAATTCAAAGTGTGCTGTCCCTCAGTTGTTCTGCTGATTATTTAAATGCTCACTTGATTGTCAACATGTGAAAGCGAACAGTTATGGTGGAGGCAAGTTTTAGTCTCTGGAGGGCAAAAAGGCTAGTGTTAATTATGATGGAGCGGAGCGAAAGGAATTAAAACTAATGAAGTCCTGGGAGACTCGCTTGCTAGCTTCTCACCCAATATTCTTTTGCCTGGTCTCTGTGGGCTGGCACAGTCTGTCAAGAGTTATTTGTCTGTCTTAAACCCATAGAGGAGATATTAGGGGGTGGGAGGGTAGAAGGGGAAGGGGAAGTGGAGGGGGGCTGTGCATGATGTCATAAATGGCTGCATTGTCACAGACGGTCCAAAAATCAAGCCTATTTACAGAATTTAATCTTTTACTCTTTTTGGTTCTGTTCTAGTGCTCTGTCACACAACACGTCAGCTTGCTGTCCATTTAGCAAAGGAGCCTGTTTGGAACGCACAGTTTAACCAGTGATTCTGAACCTCAACATGCATGTGTTACCTAAAGACTCCAGATAAGACAGCAGCGACATGATGGGTAGATAATTAGTGTCCGACTACACTAGAGTACCAACCCACTGAAGATTATTTCATGCTCAACACAAAGTATTTTGTCTGTTACAAAGAACCATTCTATGAGTATGTTCTCTAGTCATTACTCCTTGTTGGCTGTAGCCAGCCTGAAGTGTTGTTGAAGTGAGATTCCTAAGAATCTGACAGGAGGTCAATCACTCTCAGCAGTTTCAGGTAGCAAAGGGTCAGGGGTTAAATACTGAACATGGTACTGCTTTAAGGTTTTCAACATAAAGTGTTAAGAAATCCACTCAAATTGACGTGCAAAGCATAGACTGCCATCCTGGCAGACCCCCTCCCTTTTATGGATCATACTCTCCCCACCCTCTCCGCGCACACACACACACGCACACGCACATGCATACAGAGTGAAGCCCCCTAAGCTTTCACAATAGCCAAGCACCTGTTAGAGAAAATAAACACTACACGCTTTTATGAGGGGTTTTTCTGTGTGGTTTCGGGAATTGATGGTCTGACGGGACATCCACCCCCACTTCCCTGCTGCCTGACCAGGTTGTCAAGGAGCGCTTCTCCTGAGCATCATGCTAAGACCATGGGAGGTTTAAAAACTCAGCTGCACTCAGGAAGGCTAGAATGCTCTAAAAAATAAAGTGAAAGAAGATTTTTTTTTTTTTGTGGAACTTTTTAGTGTCTTTACTGCCTGTGTCTGACGTTTTACATAAAAACCAACAGAACGTGTAGGTACATTTGTAGAACCTAACTCTGCTTTAAACAGAACAACCAGATTCATCTGGTTGTCATATAAACAGGGCCTGAGTCTGTAGTCAGGTATATAATGTTTAGTGTTTAGGTTGCTTCTTGAACAGTGAGTTGCACTGGTAAGTAGCCTATCTAAAAATGCAAATGCATGCCATACTCTTCAGGGTTCCATGAACAATTTTGAAAGCAACATTTTCATTTTACTTCCTAATTACACAAAAAAGGGTCAGAATGTGAACCATTTTTTTATGTGACCAGGCTAAAAGCTTTGGTGAAAATTGAGTTCCTGGTTGAAGTCATTCTCTGAGTTAGTGTTTTTATTTCTATATTCTATTTGGAAACGTCATTTTCTAGAAAAATATTTGAATGTAAGACCGTGCACAACTAAGAGATCTGCTGTCTTTGTATTTTGTTGGTCCCACTTCCACAGCTCATCTTTGCAGTGGCCCATTCCACAAACACCTACAGGACCTATTCATCCCTCTGGTGGTGCGATACATTGACCTGATGGAGACCTCCATTGCCCAGTCCATCCACCGTGGCTTTGAGCAGGAGACCTGGCATTCAGTCAGGTATGGCTACTTGTGAGCTGTCTCATCTTTATATCAGTCATGGTGCTGCTCTGGCTTTGAACAGAACAGTGACTATGACCAGAATATGACCAATTAATAAAACTTACTTTTAGAAACACTGGAAAATATCAACCTAACTCTAAGGGAGAGCCCAGCCACCCTATGGAGGAACTCATTTCGGCTGCTTGTGCGAATATAGATTGACTGGCAAATCGAGAGCTTCACTTTTTGGCTCAGCCCTCTCGTCATCACGACGGGCCGATAAAGCCTGCTTTACAGGAGACGCTGCGCCAATCTGCTTGTCGATGTTAGCATTCAAGTTGGTGTGAGTGCTCTTCCGAGAGACAATCTTCGTGGGAGCGTTCTGGCAGGCTGACGCACCTGAAGCGGACTTCTGCAATCAGCTGCAGGATTCTTAAGAAGCGTTGGACAGGCATTCATCGCTCGATGGTCCCACTTGTTGGTCAGAGTCAACCCCAAGGTTTTGTCAAGCTTCATGTTTAAAGGGACTAAGTCAATCTTCTGTATTCTTACAGATTTTGATTCACTGTTTGATTCACTGGACCAAGGTAGGAACCACGCCCACCCGAACGCAAATCAACGATCGCCAACCAGACTGAATGTTCTCGTCTGCCGCCCGAGCTTTTGTTACCTTCTCGGAGCCTTTGCACCTAACGGATCCTATCTCCCCCTCGGCAATCCTCCATCAGACGAACTGTAAGCCATTCTCTCCATTTCCCTGTCCATGGTGAGGTGTTCCGGGCAAGTCCCACCCGGAGGAGGCCCCGGAGAAGACCCAGGACACGGTGGAGGGACTGTGTCACTCGGCTGGCCTGGGAACGCCAGAGGGAAGTCTGGGCCTCCCTTCTGAAGCTGCTACCCCTGCGACCTGACCCCATGAGTGGAAGACAATGGATGGATGGATGAGTGGAATTTTTTGACAATCTGAAACAGTGGGCAGAACAAATGATTTTAGGCTGAATAGCTGCTTTTGATGGTTGTGGCTTCAAAGTGACCAAAACCAAAAATGAAAAGGGAATTGGACCGATACAACACCGAAACAATCAACCGAAACAACACAAACTTTTGGTTTGAATAAAATGGAACAGGCAAGTGACTCTCATGTCTGCTCTCCATTGTCTTTCACCTGTTTTGCTTTTTTTCCTTTTGTTCTACTAAAATCCTCCTTTGTCATGGTTTGGATCTGTTTGGCAGATTGTTAACCAACAATCTAGCTAGAGTTCCTCTTCCTAGCTGGGCATCACATTGCCTCAGATGCCCAGCTTCTCGGTGCCTGCTTGGATTCGATCGATCTGTGAGAACACCTATGTACGGTGGAGCAGCTCATGCCTCTGATGGGCTACACTATAGGTCTTCAAAGCATCTGAAAATTACTATTATTGTTGAAGTTAATGTTCACTTTAGAGGAACATCAATGTATTCATAATCTGGAGCCTGTTTATTTTAGTTAATTCTCCTGCTATGTTCAGATTAAAACAAACAACTGAACTAAGAGCTTTCATTTCCTCAACATCTGTCCTAAATAAAAATGAGCTAATGAAGAATCTTTTCCACCAAGCTGAGGCCAGAACTAATTAAGCACCAGTTCTTTGTGTTTCCACTGAAACAGAATCCTGCTCTAGCAACAGGAACCAGAACCATTTGAGAACGAGGAAGCAATGGCTTTCATCAGAGACTTTTATCAGAATCATAGAGAACAGCAGCCAATAAGAAACATGTTAACAATATAGTATCTGCAATTTAATCACAGGTTCATTTTCACATTACACATTTATAGCTTTGCTATAAATGCGTAGATGTCTATGGCTTTGAATGAGAAGCTTAACTTTTGCAACAGTTTTTAATACCAACTAGAATTTTAACATGTTAATTAATGTGCATTTGTAGGGCAAAACAAGTCCTGCCATTTAGAAAAAGCACTGTACTGCTCTTCTGTATCCTAAACACATTACTGAACAAAGATGAGATTAAAAAGTATTATAATAATTTTAGTTGTGTGTTCTTTTTGTTAATAAAACTGGATTTTATTATAAACAAAGCATCTGCACTGGCTTTGATCCTGTCTTCAGAAACCAAAACTAATCCGAAACTTTTTACCACCACGTTTAATTATTGCTATTATTTTATTTCAATGGTACATTAAAAACATCAGTCATTAAAAACATCAGTATCTATGTAGCAGTTTAACTGTAATGCAGAAGTTTAACCATTACATAAAGAGTAAACTAAAGTAAACTAAAATAAATCAGAACAAAAATAGGTAGTGATAGTTAATGTAAGTATAATAATTAGTACAATAAAGGATTAAATATTTAAAGTTCTGATCAGAGAAATGGGATATTTTAATATGATTAACACTCTGCATCCCAGACTTACTGAGGCAGTTTTAAATACAGATTATTTGCCACCATTTAGTACCTGTGAGCCACAGTGTTTGAGTGTCTAACAACAGTTCATTTGTGAACCTTAAAGCTCTTCAAATATGATGGTGTTCTGCTGTCATACATTGAGACTCTAAAAATGGGGAATAAAAACTTAAGCTAGATTCTGAAATGAACAAGAAGCCTGAGCATATGTGGTCATGGTCTTTAGCTCCTGACAGAAGGCGTGCAGCAGCACGAACTATGGTTGCATTTGCTAAATAAATGATTTATCATGGTGAACATACAGAATGGTGCACCACTGAACTGAACAACTGAACCTACTAATTCTGCCAAGAAAATTATGCAGAACGAAGCTGGAAGCTTGTCGATAGCGATAACTGGCCTGCAGTAGAGGAACAACAAAATAAAAGACATTTAAATCAAATAATATTATATTAGGCCTGCTTGTACACTTTTGACACTACATGGATCAGAGGGAACAAATTTAAACTTGTCTTGTGTTATTGGAACATTCAAGGCCATGATAAGTGTACGAAAGCTTCATGTTCCCTGTTCCCACATGCTTCATGGTGGAGCTTTGAACAGAACATTAAAGCTAAAACAAACTCAAAAGTATAGAAGATTTTTAAATGCACAGAGATTAAATAACAGTAGGTCCAATAAACCTATTGGCCATTTTCTGAATGACTAAATCCTAATGGTGTGTTTGTCTGTAGTTTTCAAGTCCCTGAAAAACTCTGCAAGAGTAATGAGTTGGCTCTTCCTTTATTTCTGGACATCAATGGTTTCTGTGGCTGGTTCACACCATTGTCTCCCAGATTCCCACCCAGTCTGGAAAAGTCTGACGTTTGATCTCAGTATTTACCAGGCCTTTCCGCCTTCTGTCCTCTCTGTCCTTTCTGTGTTCTCTATGTCATTGTGTTAATGTAAAAGTCTTAGAATTCTGAACAGCTGAGTTTGGATAATTCTGTGCTGTGACCAAGATGAGATCTGGGTTTAGTGGATTCTGTTTTAAAGGACAGAACTATTTGGGAATCCTCTTTCTTTTTGATTGGGAGAATTGGACTTTTATCACATTGCCATATTTGAGTCGGTCAGAACCATTTGAACAAGACTATTTGAACCGTGGTCTTAAAGTATGAAGTCCAGATGAAGACCTGTAGTCTGGAGTGACTCAGACTGCTCTCAGTTTTTTCATAGTCTGTCTGAATGTTATTTTCATTAAAAAGAATATGAAAGGTATCTCATCCTCTTGAGTCTGCATGCTGCCATTTTCTAGTTTTGGTCTTTGTGATAATATTTTAGTGATTTGAGCATTCGTTCACCTACTTGACAGCAGAGCAGGATTTTCAGATCCAGCCTGTATATGACAGTCAGTGGAATGCAATCTCAGTCAGTAGTGCTTGTGCTGTGAAGTGTGCATGCCACAATTAGATTCTTAACCTAATAACACAGCAACTTGTTTCTTGTTGCAGCTTGCAAGGAGTAAATCTTCCAGATAGTTTGTAAGTTGATTTTTTTTCTCTTTGGTAGTAAGAAAAGTTTTCAAATACTTTCTTAAATCTAAACTTCAGTCTCAGAATGAAGAGCTGGGAATAAATAGAATAATACATTGGAGGAAAATGATAATGAGACACTGTTAGAGGTTAGTGTGGAACTTTGGAAGCAGGTCAGAGCAGACTGACCAGTTTTTATTGGGCACAACACTCAGTCAATAGAAAGCTGTGATTTCAAATTGAAGCACTGTTAAAGCAGCTTTACAACCCAAAGTTCCTCACTGGAATAGTGGATACGACTGAAAAACATTTAAAAATGTTTTATCATATATCAACATCGGCTGTAATAGGCAAAGATTTTTTTTTTAATCTCCAATAGGTTTTGGTTCATAACTGAATCAACAATTAGACCTAAAATTTTGATTATGGTGATGAAAAACCTTTTGTTCCTCAGTTTAGTGTAGAATGGAATTTAGTGTCTTTGCTTTCATGCAGTGATTTATCCAACCATAAAGATTCAGATGCATTTATTTTCAGGATTTTTTATGGTAGGAAAATGCTTTACACGTTATACTCTTCTAAATTGTGCAACTACATTTAGAAAAAAGTGAAGTACTTTAGGCTGAGTATGCATTGTATAATATTTTAAATCAGTCATGATTAGATGAGGTGATGCAAGCATTATTCAACATTAAAGAAGTAGAAGAATGATTAAGTGATGGTTTAATGCTATCATAGTGTTGAAACAACATATTTGTTCCAGAAATTGCTTTTAGCTGCCTGGATCCCTGGCTGGATTAATAAATGCACTGAAGGATGTTTATTCAGTACTGTGCAGTCCTATTGTGACATTAGTTGGTGTTTCAGATTTTTTTTAAATGGACATAATGCCAAATAGTTTGAAACCTGGATGTTCTGCCTCAGCTGAACAACATCTCTAAAACTGCAGTTATGATAAAATGAAGTTCCTGCATTTAGCTAACTCCAGTCACAGCCCCCAACGTGCCAGTTAAAATGGTGGAACAGGAACAAACTATCTAAAGGTTCATTGAAGACTATAAACAAAATGTGTTTTTTTCCTCATAAGTCATGTATGTCTAAAATAAGAAATTGGGAAACTGAAACATGCAGCTGAAGCAAAAATGGATGCAATTCATCAGCATGGAACATTTTAAGTAATAGTTCTTAACAATAGTAAACACATCAACAATGCATTATCAACAGTTGAACAGAAGAGACAGTGGGTGAAGGAAAGGCATTCATAAACTTTAGTGGCTGAGATAAAAACTTTATTTTGTGATACATAGCTTTTTTGCTTTGGATACAAAGAAACTGCTAAACATTGTTGTACAGCAAAACATTTTAAAACTCTTCAACTTATGTGCTTAGAATTTTAATTAAACCCTTCACTGTTAATGAAGAATCTTCAACCTGAGTTTAAAATAGTTGAAATCTTTGCTTTTTTTTCTGTCTGACATTTCTCTATTTATTATTTTTATTTTTGCAGTGTTACAAATCTCCATTTCACTTTCTTCCATATCTCCCTTGTATTCTGGTGGTCCTGGATGATATGCTACCATTGTAAAATACCACTCCGTTGACTGTTTGACTTTGACCAGCAAGGCCAGGCATCCACCAACTTTTGGGACTTGCAGTAAAATTGTACATCAAAATTCTAAAGTATTGTGCCTGCTACATATTCAGGATGTACCTCTGCTGTTGAGTTTATATTGTCCTGCTTAAATATAGTGATGACCTGATGATAACCTAACCAATTCTAAATTGTAGTGGCTGCTAGCTCGGTCATTGTAAAGCCACTATATTGTTCAACTAGCTTCAGTTATCTTTCATGATCTCAGATCAGCATCTTGATGTGGTACACCTATGAGGTGGGATGGATTATCTCAGCAAAGCAGAAGTGCTCACTATCAAAAATTTAGACAGATTTGTGGACAAAATTTGAAAGAAATGGTAATATTGTTTATCTAGAATGAATTTCAGATCTTTGAGTCCATCTCATGAAAAATGGGAGCAAAAACAAAAGTGTTGCGTTTATATTTTTGTTGAGTGTAATTTGAGCCTGAGAGGGTTAAAGGGAAAGTGAGCCCCAGAAGAGCTCTGCAGGCCTCACTACATTGATTCAACAATTACAAAGGAAAACTGGAAAAATTTGACCTCAGTGAGAGCTCCGAGGCTATAAAACTACAGCTGACTAAAACAACACAAAGGGCTCTTTCACATTTACTAAAAAGTGTCTTGAAGACTTTTGGAGAAATATTCTGTTCACTAACAAAACCAAACTTGCAACATGCATATAGCTACAGTCAAACATGGTCGTGGTAGTGTGATGATCCTGGGCTGATGTGAAGCTCCATGAAATGTGTCCAGCCACTTGTGACCTCAGCGTTTTCCCTCGATAAATTTTATTTTTTTGTTCATTCTGATTCTTTTTGTCTGTCATTCCCATATCACTGAAGGGACCTGGAGTTCCGCTGGGGTGCAGCGTGTCCCATACGGAGGCCAACGTTTACTAGTTCAGTCATCAAACATTCTCCTCACTATGCTGCATCAGTGGTCTTAGCTAGGTAGAATGACTAACTCTAACTAAACAAAGAAACAGTAAAAGGAAAGTGAAGCACTGAATTGGTGACATACGGCACACCTGTTCTTCTTGCTTTTCCAAAGAACTCTCATTTTTCTGGTTTGTAGCTTTGCGGCAGATCTAGCTTCGATGGCCATTTTGGAGGGCAATACAGTGTTTGGAGGTTCTCAGGAGACCATTTTAGGGCGTTTTTCTTAAAAGGACTTCAGTCTGACTCTGCCAACCATTCCCACAGCACACACTGCTCCTCTACCTCACTTCACTTGGCTAGCCACTACTTTAGGAAAAAAAAAACTGAGGGGAGAGAAAGCTGGCACTTCACTAACAAGCACAGACGGGTGAGTGGGATCGTCCCGTTTCCCTGGGGAGCAGGGCGGAGCACGTTCACTGAAGAGCACCAGTAATTAGACATGAGGGGGATAGCCACCAAGCTTTTTATTGCAACACAGACTCAACCCAAAGTATTTATTTCTGTGCGGCATTTTTAAAGGCAGTCTTTTAAAGGCAAAGTGAGAAAAATTAGGGAGTTAAAAGGACTTGTTACTCCCCCCTCCCCTGTGGCAGTGGTTCTAGTTGTGGGCGCTGTCCATTTGGATGTTGATGGTGCTGATGGTTACGGTCTAACCTGTTTGCACAGGAGAGAAAGCAGCAAGATGTCCATCTGTCTGTTTACCAAGCTAAAACATGCAACTATGAACCCCAGTACATAATTGGCAGGGATCTAAGAGTCATGTTTATTAAAAAAAAATCAAATATTGAACTAATTTCATGGATATTTAGAACAACTGACAACAGGAATAATGCATTTATGAAGTTGCGCTTTCATTTTGAGTTTGTCAAACAGTAGTCAACTAAATTAGGTGTATTCAGGAACAATGAGGATGTATAATAGTCACATTTACATATGCAAATTCTGCATGTTGCCAGAGATGGAAAAACTTCAGTTATTGGAACATCTGACGATGATGCAACAAATTCTATGGATCTGCACAGGCTGTTCCTTCCTATGTACTTTAGTTTTTTGGTTCTCCTTTAAATTAACATAAAGGATCATTTCTCTGTGTAATACTAAGAAATTAGACAAGGGTAACTTGAATTGGATGACAGAAAGAGGAAGTGATGGTATGAGAAATTTTTGGTATTAAGACCCATATTCAGCCTTCAGTTCTTGTTAGAGGGTTGGCTTCTCTCCACTGTGGCATCATGAAGTTCAGTAACTCCATGATGCATAGCTTTAACTCATCAATATACCAGCCTCACTCCACCCAGCAGCAGACCTCCTGGAGCCCCTGTAGCAGGCTGCTGAGGTGGCACAGATTGAGTCATCTTCTTTTTGTAGTTTGACCAAGACTGATTCTTGATGAACAGTGGAAAAGTCACTTATGTCACAAGTGATGAGAGGTGTTTCATCCTTTACAATGGGCAGTACCAAACATGACTGTCTGTGTAACTTTCCTTACTCCTTTCCTTCCTCACCTCCAGACCTCCCCTTGTTTTGTGATGTGTGGTTTTCAAAGCTCACATACATGTGACATGATTTGTGACTCATTTTGTGAATGAGGTGAATGGGCATTAGGACGAGTCTCACACAGAGGACCCAGAGAGAGGGTTCTGGCAAACTGACACATCTAAATAAAACTGTACATGTAAAATAAACTTGAGAACTACACGTTCAGTGGGAAATAACTATCTGTCCTACAATGTAAATGAACAGATATGATCAAGTTTTCTGCATAGAGGTAGTTATAGCATGTTACTGTGTTAGAGTTGTTTGACACAATCAAATGACCAATGTAAATATTTTTTTGGATTCCAATTCCAAATGACAATGGCAGGGAAAGCTAAAAAGCATTAGACAAATGTTTTTATTGGATCATAGAATGAAAAACTGCTGCCATTTTTATGCTTTTCAGGTTTTTCTTTTATTGTTAAATAATTTGTTTTTCATCAGAACAAAGATTGATGAACTTCACAGGTCTTTGAAATGTGTTTGTATGTATTGCTTTCTGCTGCTGACACTCTCCACCTTGCAGTAATGGATCGGCCACCTCTGAGGATTTATTCTGGAAGCTGGATGCTCTACAGATGTTTGTGATGGACCTGCACTGGCCAGAACCAGAGTTTGCCAAGCATCTGGAACAAAGACTCAAACTGATGGCCAGTGACATGATGGAGGCCTGTGTCAAAAGGTCAGGAGCCTCCAGCATTCTAACATGAGTAAATATTACTGGAGGTCGACTGACATTATCAGCCTGCCAATTTTTGCTTGTTCTTGCTTCATTTTTAGACTGGAATGTATTTGGACATCACAGCATTGCCACTGTTGTGAATATAGAAGGTGTGAATACTATGTACTCCAGGGCTAAGTGCCTCCTCGTGGCTTTGAAATTTAGCAAAACCCTGTTGATCAGCCATCAATTGAAATCATTTGTGCTGAAACAGGAGAATGCCTAAAACATGCAAGGCAAGGGTGCCTTGAGAACTGGAGTTGAAAAATACTGCTCTATAATACTTAGTCAGAAAACATATCTTGCCCAGAAGATTACCAGAATTACAAAAATAATAAGTGCTGTTTCATTTGCCTTACTTCAACCTGAAACTTCACAGATTTCAAGTAATAGCAATTGAAAAACATTCTAATCAAAGGACACATCTAAATAAAACTGTACATGTAAAATAAAATAATTGGTATTGGGCTAAATCAGCAATTGATCAGTGATTGCATATCAAAAATCAGTATTGGCAATAATCAGTTGACTTCTAAATGTCACACCAATTTTTTATTTTTTTTTGCAGAAACTGTTAAAATAAATCAGTCATAATTTTTTGTCCTGCAGGACAAAATCTGCGTTTGAAGCCAAAATGGCAAAAATGAGTCAATCTACAGAATTCCGGGTTCCACTCTCTGTCTGCACCATGTTCAATGTGCTGCTGGATGCTAAGAAGCAGAGCCCCAAACTCTGTGTGCTGGACTGCAACCAGGAGGTAAATTTAACCAGGCATGGTTTGTTGGCTTGATTCACATGACCATAGTACAATGTTTGGCTTATGTAACCTAACCATTGTAATAAATTTATTGTTAATAAAAATAATTAAAGGGAAGATTTATATCAGATCAACTTTTTGAGCTTTATGACATCTGCTCCTGCAGTGCTCTGCCTACTTACCCAAAGCCACTTGGTGCTTCAGTCTCCAGCCGAACGTTTGCCCCACAGTGTCCACTAGACTAGCAGCAGCTATTAGCAAACACCTAGTGGAACTGTGCATCTGCTGAGCTCATCATACAAACTACAACAAACTAAAATCTGTTTCAAATGGCATTGATGGACACCATGGAGAAACATTGTTGTGATGTACTGAAGGAGGAGTTTAGGAAAGGTCAGGAGGATCTTAAAGAAACGATGGCCAACAATCAGTCAGATGGACTGGACAGATTACACCAATTCATCAAAGGGAGCATGGTCATCATATTTGCTTAAATAGTAGCATCCTAAGCAAAATATTAAATAATCACACTGAATCCAGTTTCTTGTTTTCTCTTTCTCTCTCTCTTTTTCTGTCTCTTGCTGCTCACTCATGAATGCACACCACTACAAACATTCAATCACATTTTTCAGTGAAGGATCTCTGAAGGCACTCTTTTATTTGTGTACCTTCGAAAGCTAGGCTTAGCCACATGTCCATTGGCTTTTTGTTCAAATTAGCCGCTGGTTTGAAAAAAACCACGGCAAATTTTGACACACAGGAAAACAGGCCCCCATCCTTTTGACAAACAGGAAAACACGCATACACACCTCCCTCTGATTTTCACTGATATCTTTCTTGCTAGCTGTTGCCAACAAGGAGAATTCACTTCCATCACAAATCTTGTTTTTATGACATGCATTTTTATGCTGAAGCTGAATTCTGATATTGTTGTTGTTCACTGACATTTTACAATTATTAATAAGTTAATTAGTTTGAAATTACATTTTAGTATTCCATTTCATTTTAATATCATAATTCATTGGTGACTTGATTTGATAATTTGCTTATTAATTTTTTATGCCTTAGTATTTTAGTTGCAGTTTGGTAGTTTCAGTTCATGGTTTATTGAATATTTTATTAAATTCTCTTACATCACAAAGAAGTAAGTTGGTTGTGTTATTTCTGGTGCATGCTTGTGGTGTTTGCATTCCATAGGGTTGAATTGATTCCTTCATGAGATAAGAAGATGGAACACATCACCCATTTCTCAAGTCCTTCAATTGGCTCCACTGTAGCTTAGAGAACAGATGTTAAAATACTGTTGTTACGAGATAAGTCATTGAACAGTTTTGCACCACAATAGATTATATTTGCTGTTGTATCAACCTTCTAGACCAGGGGTGCCCAAAGTGGGCTGGCATCCTGCATGTTTTAGTTCTATCGCTGGTTTAACGCACCTGGATCAAATGATGACTCGTTAGAAGGCTTAAGAAGAATATTGACATGCTGAAAAGGTTGTTGGTCCTTCCAGAGAGAGAACTAAAACGTGCAGGATGCTGGCCCTCGAGATAATATCTTGATAATAGCTTGTATTTTAATTGTACAGAGTGGAACTTTAGTCAATATATTGACTAATAATAATAATAATAATAATGGAGGAACTGGGTTCCTTTCTAAGAAAGAAATTCAAATAATTTGCTTCTACTGTTTCATGATTGGTTACTGTATTATGTTTTTCTTGTGTGAACTTTGAACTGCCTTGATGAATTGTTCTACACAAATAAAGTTGATTGATTAGTTAAAAGCATTTTGGTCAGCACTAAAAGCTTTTTATGCAGTTGAATTTATTGAAGCATTGGTCAGCATCTACAACAGTGACTATTAAAGAGAGCAAGGTGTTTACCGATTGGTTGTGATACTTGCATTGACGTGATAGTATACTTAAATAGGTGTGGGTTGAAGTCCTTTTTACTTCTGTCTTAAATTAAACAAGGTGACATTCCTCACTATTTTCAACTGCACATGTAAGATAACAATCTCTTGTCCCACAACATCCTGAAGGTAAAGGAAATATTCCGTACACAGTGGCCAGCAACACCAGCCTGAACAGTTGAAACAACAAAGAATTGGTCCGTGCTGTTCTTTTAAGTCCATTTCTGACCCATCTGAATACTGCAGCTGAAAGACTTCACTACAACTAGAGCAAATATTTCCACAAAATCCTTTTTGATTTTTAACACAACAAAATTTTAGTTTGACATTGCATTGACATGATTCGGTTTGTCTGTATTAGGTTTATTCAGTTTAAAATGTCCAACATCTAAATAACCTTGACTGATATTCTCTGACTGAAAAATAGATAGTTCTAAGGAGCTTTCTAAAGAATAAATGCCTTTATCTGTATTCTTTCAGCTTGTTTTACATGTTTTGCTATAAAGACATCAGTGGGGGAGGCATAAGGATTCTAAATAACAAGTCAATGATAAATTCTCTTACTGATCAATGTTGCAAAGTCTCACAATTGTCGTCTCCTGCTCAGTGTTCTGGGTATTAAAGTAAATCACAGTTGAGATCAAATATTTGTGTCAAGGTGAAATATGTAATGAAAAATTATAATACAAAAATAGAGGAACATGTTTCTGAACTCACAAGGACCTCAAATAGAATAGAGTAGAGATATTTCTATAGGGAGATTTTGTTCCTACATGTGGGTTAGCTTAGCACAATTGGTACTTCAGTTTATCAAACTTATTTAATCAGAGCAGCTCCTTTATACAATATTTCTATGCATCTAAGTTTAAAAATGGCTGTCTGAAAGTGGAAGCTGACATTGTGTTTTGTTATGCTGATTGTTCCTGTTCTTCCTGACAGAATGAATTTTACAACATTTCACTGAGCTCAATAAATAGAAAATTTTTACACCCTGGATACTTAAGTAAAGATCACACTGAACAATAAATGCTTCCACTGCAGACATAGGTCATAAATAATAGCAAATCGGGGGGGAACTGTTTACTCAGTGTCTGTAGGCAGCATAGTTGTGTGTGTTATCGCTCTGGGCCTCCTGCTTTACTCTGGCTTATATATTTGGAGTCTGATGTATTCTAAATCTTCAAGTCCTACACGAAGACCTTCAAGTGAACAATCTTAGAAACTCCTCCTTCAGGGGTCATCTAGAGCACTTTCTCAAGAGATGCCCACTTAGATTCATAGAGAAGCTGTAGCTCTACTCTGAGCTGCTGCAGAATAATCATTTTCTCATCATATACCTAAGTTTTAGTGCAAGAGGCTGCTGAGGAGGAAGCTCAGTGCAGCCACATATTTGCAACCTCATTCTTTGCATCACTCTCCACAGCCCACCTCTCATTCCTTTCTCAGGAATGAGAGATGCAACAAATACTGTTAAACTGCAGGTTTCAGCTTTTCTCTCAGCTATTTCTTCACAACAATAGGTCTGTGTTACATCTGCATCACAGTAGACACAGCCCAGTTCAGGTGTTTAAACCCAAATATACGACTACTGTTCCACTTGAGACAACTTCTTCTTTCCCACCTGAAGGAGGCACGTCTTTCCACTGGAGTGATCCAGTGGCAAGATGGATCATTGAATCAATGTGTTGTTCATCATCAACATGCAGCTTTGTGTCTATGTAGAGATGGTTGCTTCAACCTGTCTTTATAGGGATCAACCCCCTAATTTTGCCAAGAAGCTGATCTCTATACACAGCAGTGAGGAGAAGAATTCTTCATCTTTTTGCGTGAAGCTCCATGTATTTATTGTATCAACTCAGAGTTAATTGTTATTTGTGCAGGTAGTGTACAAGTTTTTATGTCAAGTTTTGGAACCTCATAAGCCAGCTCTATCGACACACAACTGATAGATTGCATCAACATTTTAATGCACGTGTGTTCTCGGCATTAATTTTACTGCATATTTATCCAGTTATGTTGTCTCTCCTCACAGTGTTTGTTCCAAACCTCATATAATTTTCACTACAAAGTTATATATAAATAGATTTAGTAAATGCAGCTTTATACTGATGTGTGGTATGTATAAGACTTAGACTTAGACTTGTACTTTATTGATCCCTTGAGAAGACTCCCTCAGGAAATTAAAGTTACCTGCAGCTTACAGGCAAAAAAGTGGCACACAGTGCGCAAAATACAAAAGAATACAAAAAATACAAATTAAATACAAAGGTACACAGTAAATGTAATGAGAATATAAATACAAAACAAAGAATATAAATACAACACAAAAGAAAATATAGTATATAATATTTTGTTTTGTTTGCGTTTTGATAAGCAAATTAAACAGATTTGAACACTACTTTTTATTTTATATATTGCATAATTGCTCACTGTGTCATCTTTTGTTTGTTTCATGTTCTCCTATGCCCATCTGTCCTGGACATTATTTTTTGGCTTCCAGATTGACATACAATGGGTAAGTCCAACCTCTTATACCTTATTCTCTTCCCATTCATCCCACATGGGGTTCCCATTCTAAAATGGAGTTTTGAAATCTTATCCAATTGTTTATATTTTTGGGGGGATGAAGGGGAGTTCTGAATGCCCCTTTTTAAACTGACATGTTTGCATTAACAGCACTTAAAGGTCAGCTCACCGGTCTTGTTGTCTTTATTGTTCATTGTTCATATATTGTCATATTGTGTTACTGTGGACACACATTAAATATAATGAAACTTCCAAAGCCAAGAAGATAAAACGATTTAATTAGGGAATCTCAAACCTAAAAACCATTGTTGAATGGACAAATTGGATATTTTAGAAGTTTTTGTCAGAGGTGTGTATTGTTCCACTATTGCCATTTGGACAACATTCTTTAGAACTTAATCATTCTACTCAACTGTTTTTGACTTTATTTTTTTATACAATGTTGATGGTTTTAGAGTCAAATCCTGATCATGGTAATCTTACATGGTGCATGTCCATTTCTGTCCATCCACTAGATGAAGCCAATAGGACCTGCAAAAAGTAGAGACCAAAATGGATTCCCTCAACACCTTAGCTGCACCTAGAAATATTTAGTGTTCTCTCAAACCTTTCTCCTCATGCTCAAAACTTCTCTATCATATGGGTTCTACTACAATCGATAGTAGCCACACAGGCATACCCTGAAGGAAACCATTGCACCCAATATAACACTTTCATTCTGTTGGCTGAGAGTTTGCCATGTAATGGTACTTTTTGTTTCTCAAGAGAGCAGAAAAAAAATTGCAAGTGAACAGAAAAGTTTGAGCGGAAATTTGATCTGAGTGGAGAGAAGAGGAAAAACATTTGAGAAGGTACAGAGAATATTTGAAAGAGAACAGAAATTTAGAGTATAAGCATTACAAGTTTGTAGAATAAAGTTGTGAAATCCTGCTTTCATATCTGCTCTCGACTTATGGCAGTAAAATTTCATCAAAGAAAAAGAAAAATGTATTTAATTATTTGGATTTTCTGACATATACCTTCTTCTTTTTTATTTTGTCAAAGATAGTATGGACCTAAAATATTTAGGTGTACACTAACCATAGAAAAATATCTTTTTTTACATATATTAAAAATACAAACAAAGCAAAAAAAATTTACATTTACAAAAAGACAAAGTAAACGTGTGCAGAACATCTAATCAATTGATAAAACTAAATTATTTCATACTTTTGTTTGCTAAGTTGAAATTTCCAGTAGACCTAGCATCAATGTCTCTATGACATTTATGCTAAATGTCTCTGTTGGATTTTGAAACTAAACTGTAAGTATCCAAAGACAGCATTGGTGGCTGAACTGCTGCTGGTCAGTAGCATCATAAACTTTTTGGCAAACATTCCATGGGTCCAGCACACATACTCAACTCTGCTGCTCAACCAACACATCAGCAGTTCTTACAGATGTGGCACCATTCTGCTTCCCAACAGAATGAGATGTTTTGCAAATAAGCACTGTTACAACAAAAAAAATAACCAACCAGATTTTCCTTACCTTTTTTATTATTTAAATTACATCAGTAATCAATAACCTAGTTGCTGTGGTGGGAAAGAGAATGTAGTTAAGACGAGAAAAAAAAGTCAGATTGGCAAAAACAAGGTAAATTGAAAGAAATCTGCTATTTTGCAGACTAGTGGATAAGCAGGAGAAGCTAAATTTGGCTGTGACCTCCCAAGATCTGCAGCTTGTCATCGATCTATGTGCTTTGTTGATTGAAATTTTTAATTTGGGTGCTCTTTAGACGGCCAGTGAAAAGGCATTGTTGGCAAGAGATGAACTCCCCTTCTGCCTCTGCCATTCAGCACTGGGCCTTTTTTTCTCTTCTTCCTTCAAGGGAAAAGGTGCCATGAATATTTTTTCAGGGGCCTGGGGATCGCAGCAAACAAGACATGAAATGGCAGATTAATTGAATCTCGTGTGAGCCTTTGGTCCTTGCTGCTAGACCGGTGCTTTAAAAGAATACAAGGTTGCTCTAATTGTGCAGAGACACAGAAGAAGTATTCTTCAGATTCCTTTGCTTTTCCTGTGTGGATGGGAATTTGATTTAGCAGCAAAAGGCATCTTATTAGCTGCTTAATTCTACAGTGTTACACCGTTGAGAAGATTTTTAACGGCACTCCTAATTTTATGTCTCAATGCTTCTGTCTTAGTTTAGAAAAAATTTGTCATGGTTTTTGTCGTTTCCATGTCTCCCCCCTCCACGAATATGATGCCTCCCTGAGGACCACAGCAACAGTACCACTCCAAAATTGATGTTCTGATTGATGACACATTCGAAGAAATGATTTTCTCCCTCGCATTAAAGGTATTTTCATCCTTGATTCTGTGGTATTGTTTGTACACATTTCTAAAGAATTTTGCTGTACATTACTTTTTTTTTCTTTTCTTGTCTTGCATGAACAAAAAATATTTATCTTTGACATTTGTTTTGTTTAGAATTGACATTTAATACTGTACTGCTTGTGATATTGCATTAGAAGTGAGTTTCTATATTTCATAGGGGGACTTTTTTCTTTGTTTGACTTTATTTACAATTAATAAAGAATTTAATCTTTTCTAAGTAAAATTCCAAAGCATTGGACTTGAGAAATATGTATTTAATAAAAAGGACACTTAAGCATGTTAAAATTATAATATAGTAACTTCATAAAACAAATGTTATTTGTTGTATTCTGTGTCTGCAGTGTACTGCTGTCTTAGAAAGCGTCCTCTTCAAGCTGTCCAGATATGATGAAGGAACGTTCTTCTCCTCCATCCTCTCTTTCACAGTGAGAACCACAAACATGCAGCCTCTTTGTTTTAGATAGCCACATGGGCAGCATCTTATTTATTGGAAACTACATCTTCACAACTAGAGTTCAGTGTGATGATTCTAGTCCTTCATCTTCTCATCCCACTGCTCCCCTTCTCCCTCTTAAAAAGTAAAAGCATCAGCCAAATATGTGGAGGTCCCTGTGAGTCTGCTGCTCTGCCCTTTGTTTTATGATTGTCTGTTATCTCAATTCTGCTTCTACCTGCATTCTTCTAATTGGAATGTTTGGGAACTGAGTGGCTGAAATTCTCTTTTAGTCAGGTTGTTCAACACTTTGTGAATCTGATTCCATCCTCACTTTGTCTTTGATATTGTCTGAATGTAGACAAGCTATCTTCTTGATATTTTCAGAGGACTGGTTGCTGTTTTATATATTTTTAGCTCAACTTAGCTACTTTTCCTTGGCTCAAGCTGGACTGGCCCTCCACTCAATAATTATTGTGTTTGAATATACCGACTGCATTGCCAATGAAACGTTTCCATCCTTCTTTATACTTTTTATATTATTTTTTCAAATTAATCATTACTAACTTATCAATTTTGCTTTTTTGTTAAAATTTTATTTTTCTTTTCTTTTTTAAACAAAAGTTTCAAAGTAAAAACTGGTTTCTACAAAAATGACAAATGAAAATATGAAGCATAAAGTAATATTTTAATTTATTTAATTCTTCTCTTATAAAATGTCAGTGTCTGAAAAAGCACTATAAAAATTTGATGTATTATTAATATTATTACACATATCATTCAATAACTGATTGTATAAATATTCACCTTCTTCCAGTCAGTAGATGCAAATTCAGCTCTTTTTAAGTCCTGACACAAATGTTTTGTTGGATCGGTGTTTGGGCTTTCTCTCTTCACTCCAGAATCTCTACCTTGTTGTTTTCAAACATCTCTGTGGAGCTTTAGCGGGATACTTAGGCTTGTTGACTTGCTGGAAAATGTTCTACATTTACAAGCCTTCTATGGCCTGCTGCTGAGAAGTATCCCCATAGCATGATGCTGCCACCATCATACTTCATCATGTGTTTGGCAATCAAAAAGCTCCAGCTAAAATTTTCTTTCACCTGACCATAGCGTGTCCTACATATTTTTTCTCAAACTCTAGTCCAGCCTTGATATCCAGATGTTTTATGTCCATTCCTTGACTTCTACTTTTAATATTTCTTATTTTTTGATTGGAATATTCTTCAGTCCTCATATTGTTAATGTAGCCAGGAATTCTAATGAACTAGTGAGTGCCCCTTCCAGAGCCAGCTGTTGTTTGTACTACAATAAGTGTGGTGATGGTTGCAACAGCAGTAGAAGTTTGTGAAATGTCTTCTTTTTTTTTCTTAATTGGCAGTATTTTCCAGTAATCAGTTTTGACTTTGATGTTAATGTGAGGTTTATGTCATTTTTTTGGACAAAAAGCAAAATTTTGTAAATAATGATTGATTTGTAAAGCAAGAAAGAGTAAAACATCCAAGAGGGTGAATATTTTTCATAGATGTGTTTTCATGTTTCATGTTCATGTTCAGGTGTGTTTCTAGGAATGGGCTCATCATTGCTCTTGGTAATGGTGGACATTTAGCCCAGAAAAGGTTTTGATAGGAAAGTAACACTTCTTTATTTCCCCACAAAGCTTTAGTGGGATTTTACAAATGATTTAAATTATAATTTTTTCCAGAAGAATAATTCAGTCTTGTTACCTTACGCTTTTCTTGTTTTATTTTATTTTAACAATATTTAAAATAAAATAAAACTTAAAACTTCTGTGTTTAAATATTTGACAATATTTAAACACAAAATCTCTGATCTTAGTCTAACTGAAGCTTGGTCTTAATGAACCTCTGAAGTCTGAACTTGGATTTGAAAGTGATGGCAGCCATAATAACGCCAGAAATCCAGCAGGATTTCTTAACTCTTGTGTGAAATAAGCAGGCTGCGACGACTAATGCAAGCTGATAATTAATTTCATCCAATAATTTGTGTAGTTCTGTGTGTGCAGAAGGTCTTAAGAAACACAAAGTGAGATGCATCACATCTGCAGCCATCACATCTGTCATGTGCAAGGCATCCATGTTAGGTTTAGTCAGTTTTCAAGTGAAGAACTTTTGAATTTCCAAGTCAAAATCTGAACCTACTATGATTTTTTTTAACGTCAAATTCCTAAATTCCATCTTGGGAATACAAATGTAGTTCATCATATCTACTTAAATACTGTTGGACTATACTATAAGAAAAGCCTACAATCAAAGAAAATGTATAAAAGCCCCTGCATGTGGCAACTTTAAACAACTTTAATTTTTAACACCTAGTAAAGATTTATTAGGGTTTGAGGACACAATTAATGTTGCACAGTTCATATTTTTGAAGTTGAATTCTGCCAGAACAATAAAAGTACTTTGATAGTCATAGTGGAGTTATAACATTGTGGAATAAAGCAGAATAAAATCAGTATATTTGCTTTACAAGTTAAACACGCTTGGTTGCACTTTGCTTCACTGCGACTATAAAATAAAATTAAAATTTTATTTACAAGATAGAAGAAGAAAGCAGCAATAAAAGTATGTGCAGCACATAAACGATTCAATATTTTCTAGCTGCTACATGGTCATAATTAAAGTAACACTGCATTGATGTTGGTTGGTATATTTTAAACCATAGTGTCTAAATGTTAGATGTGGGAAAGTAGAGCATGAAGACTAAACCTGAGCTGAAGAGTGGCAGCACAACCCAGCCTACTCCTCCACTCTGCCCCTCCTGATGCTCTCTTGTTCCCATCCAGACTTCCTTCCCAACCGTCTCCTCCCATGAAATTATAGTGTAACACCTACCTTCCCCTGTTGGTCTTTTGTATGGAGGAAACCTGAATCAGGTAAGCCTCTTTGGGATTGAAGAACAAGAGATGAAGTCTCTGAGACCCCTCACTGTGCTGCACCACCTCCTTTGTCACGAAAAGAACAAGCTGTCTGCATTTCACTTTTCACTACATTATAATACATTCCTTCCTATTATTTTCTTAAAAATGAAATCCCCATATAATTTTATTCTGATCTCATTAGCATTAAACAGCAGTGTAGTTTGCCACACTGAAGCAGTTTAACTTTGATGGCACATTCTTGATTGGTAATGAAGACAAAAAAAAAAAAAACTCTGCATGAGAAGCAGCATTTTGATAAAATAAAAACACAAGTTATGTGGAAGAGGTAGAGTAATAGCATTAATTGAATAAATCAGAATAAAAACTATGTGTTTTATTCAAGAATTGCACTTCTCAGGGTGGCAGCAATGTAAAAATTGTGTTTTGGACAACTTGTCCTTCTTGTTTTGTATACTGTATAGTTGAACAATATTAGGCAATATTTTTCAGATTTTACTATTTTGTTGCGATGCTTAACCATAGCAACAGGGTGGTTTGCATCATGAAGCAGCTGATTAACATTGGAAACACTGATGACTTATTACCACACCTGAAACCAGAAAGGTTTCAGGTGTGGTTTAACTCCCAAAGGAGTTAAATAGGAGGCAGAAAATGAACAAAGATAAGAGAAGAAGGAAGCTCAAATCATTTGAATTAACAACCTTTACTTCCCTTTCGGAGTCAATAAAGTATTTTTGAATTTGAATCTATCACAATGGGTAATGTGAGATTAACTAACAAGATGGATGAACTTCAAGCCCTCACAAGTACAAATAATGTAGGAAATTCAGCATCATGTTTTACTGAAACATGGCTTCAATTCAATTAAAATTCAAAGTTCAAATTTAAAAATATTTTATTAATCCCAAAGGGAAATTAACTAATTAATTTAGATACTTCAAAGAGTAATTAAAATGGTGACGACTGTTGACAGGAAAGCTCTTCTGCAATATCTGTACTGCACTGAATCTGAAAAAGCTTTGTGATTAGAATGGTCAGGGTGGTCCATAATTTTCTTTGCCCTATGAAGAATCCTTATTTGCATAGTTATTTCCAGAGGATAAAGAAGGCTCAACGACCTTCTTTATCTGCTTACATCTGGCTCTGATGTAAGCAAACAAACACATATCAGGACCCCCTGCAGTCTGCTTGCTGCTGTGGAGTCAGCAATGATGATGCCATCATACACCTGCTTCAACAAACCCACTGTCATCTGGACAAAGCAGGCATCACTGCGAGGATCATGTTCTTTTATTTATCCAGTGCAACTAACACAATTCATTCTGAATTGCCGACATTTTCTGAATTTCAAAATATACCAGGTAACCACACAATCTAAAAAGCAGAGATTCTGCTATCAAATGCCTGCACCCTCTCAGTACACATCTTCAACATCCTTAACCAACCATAGAGACAGACACACGATCTTCCACTTCCCCCAGGAATCCATTTTGTATCCGGCTGCATATGCCCCATGGGGGCGAGGGCTCTCCTTTGCCCAGTATTTTTATCAAGAAAATTTGATCCATTGCTTTGAGAAACCAACTGACCAGATATGTAATTTGCAATTCAGAAGATATGTACAGAGATGCAAGTCAGCACAGGACAGAGAGCAGAAGCAGATAGAGGAGGGAGAGCAGGAAGATAGTATGTTATAATATTATTCATTCATCAGACATACATACTGGAGAGTTGCTTTGATTTTGTCATGCATGTTCCTTTAATCTCCTGCAGCAACCATTTGGGCTGATTAAACACTTGCCTTCAAGTGAAGACGCTGCAGTCTTCAGTCAAGTCTCTGCCTCACAAAGCACCCTTCTCTGTTCCTCCCTTACTCAGTTCATCCAGACTAGCAGGAACAGCAATTAGCAAACATCTGTACATCTGCTGAGCCCATCATAAGAACTACTTCTTAGTTGAATGCTTAGAATGGTTGTAAATGGTATAACAGAGGAGCACTGTAGTGATGAAGATGCAGTGTCAGAACAACCAAGAGCTTCTTAAAGAGACAAAGGCCAATTCATTAAGTTTGATATATGCAGGAGTTTTATCATGGCTGAAGGTAATATAGCACTTGACGATCTCAATAGTTTCAGTATCAGGTTGCATCTTTCCTCATGTACTTACAGAAAATATTACTTTAGTATATTTTAGGACTGAAATGATTCCTCGAATGATTCAAGTACCTTGATTATTAAAATTCTTTGAGGAAAATGTATCTGCCTTGAAGCTTTGTTAAATTATGTTAAATCATTTAGTGAACTCGCTTGTGCAGAGTTCTCACTTCTGCCTGAGTTGTTGACGAATGTAAGTGTGTCGTTTTTCGGAGGACCAATAAGCATCCTTAAAATAACGGGAGCGATGCTTGGAGAATGGCAACTTTTCTCCTCCTGGAGCTGCCGGTTCAGAGCAAATATTTATACAGGTTACTGGATAAACTTAAACACTGCAGGCAGCTTTGGTTTAGATGCATACTTTTACGGACGAACCGTAAAATAAATTTCATGTCATCCCAGTCGCAACAAATGGGTGGCGAAACGCATTGTGGTGGTATCATGCCGACACTCATTGGTAAATGAGTTTATGTGTGTGACGAATGCAGGAGTCAAATCCCGTCGCTAACATGAACACAAAAGCTATAAATGCCGGGGCAAGGTGAAAGTTCATCTGTTAAACTCACTGAAGATGAATACATAAACCAAAAGCTGGAGTATAGACATTTTTACAAGTCTATTTGTGAGCTTGGCTGCCCCTGCCAGTTTAACAGAAGCATTAACGCCTGGGTGTGATAGGGAATGAACTGCATCAAAATCCCACTGACACCAAATAGGAGAGACCAAAGAAATGGCATATTTCCAGAAAAAGGACAAGCGGTTCCCTATGAAAGGTTCTATGCTTTTTTCGGCATCCTGGAGTTTCCTGTTAAAAAAAAGCAAGGGGTTGCCAGGTACCATCCACCTATTGCTCACAAACTGCCCCAACTGCATAATCAGAGGCATCACTTGTTAGAGCCACTGAAGATGGATGGGCCAAAAACCCAGCATTAGCCAAGGCTTGTTTGGCATCATTGAATGCCTGCACTCTCTCAGGGGTCCACTCTATCTGCTGGTTTGTGCCCCTCGGATAGACAGTTTAGTAACAGTTGATCTGGAGTCTCTCTTTCAATTTGAACCCCTGTTCTTGTGAAAAAAAGCCGTGGTGGCCGTCTTATTGCTCCCTTGTTGTTACCCTCGGTATTTCAATTGTTCGGTCTGTCACTGCTGTTTAGTTTTTCCTTTGTGTCTGTTTTCTTTTATGTACTTGTGATGTTTCACATGTTATGTATTTTTGTGTTAGTAACATTCTGTGTGTTCGGGGGCCTGTATGGCAGATACAATGTACATATTTCACACCTGAATGTGAACTATTGTGAAGGGGAGAAGGTTAGGTGAAAAGACACCAATGGTTGTCTCACATTCTATTTTGGTTTTGATTGGAAGACATTGAGAATAAAACAAGACTCAAATTATTATTTTTTTGTCTTTTTCTGCTAACTTCCACAAATTGAATATAATTTAAAATTGTTGTACAACTTTTCTTCAGGTTAACTTAGAAAGTGAGCTATTATTGTTATGATTTACTTTTCTAAACTACAGGAAAGTTATTAGGGACACTCAAATGTGAAAAAGTGGATTGATGTTGATATGCGATAGTAATACTGCTGTTATGTTAGATTTACCAATGATTTATCTTTTTTTTATTAATCATAAGAATAATAGATTATTAAAATATTTGTTTATAACAACCCTAGTATATTTTAGAACAAGAAAATATATTTTTTTAATTGCAGTAACCTGTGAACATGAACACAACATCCATATGGTAGAAATGAAATAAGATTGAGCATATGGCACCATGCAATTACCAGGTATTTTCACTGCTCTCTGCTTCTGAAAACTAGTCATTATTCAAAAGGCCTCTTCCTCCTCCTGCCACTTCACTGCTTTATCCCTCCATGTCTTTATTGAACAGGAATGTTTCTGTATGGAGTTTCTTTGTATGTCAAATGTTGATGAGTGCCTGGGTGTACTTTATCTGGATGCAGAGGGAATTACTGGTGTTTCACTTCACTTGAAGAACACACGAAGCAGACAAAACAAGCTAGCAGTGCAGCGGAGGACAAAGGATCTGGCTTATTGGTATAGTATGTGCACTGGAAAGATGTTTTCATTATTCAATTTATATTTAGAATAGTAGCTAATTTATTTGACTGAACTTGATCTGAGCTCCACTGTTCAGGTTGTCTGTGTGTGAAAATATGTGCATCCACATATGAACTTAGCAACAGCTTAAACAGCTTAAGCTCAATCATCTGGGAGTGATTCAGAGTAGAGCTGCTGTTCCTTCAAGTCAAGAGGAGCCAGTTGAGGTGGCTGGGGCATGTGGTTAGAATGCCATCCTGGGGAGATGTTCTGGACCACTCCCACCGGGAGGAGGACCCAGGACATGCTGGAGGGACTATGTTTCTCGGCTAGCCTCGGAATGCCTTGAGATCACCCTGGAAGAGCTGAACAAGTGGCTGGGGAGAGGGAAGTCTGAGCCACCCTTCTTAGGCTGCTACCTCCACGACTGGATATACGAAAGAAAATGGATGGATGGATGGATGGATGGATGGATGGAATTTATACAATATATTTATACTATAAATACTTTGCATATTTTTATAATGTAATAAATGTATTATTACGTATTTAGTTTGTTATTGGTGTCTTGTGATTAAATTTCTTTCAATATGTATATTTTTAAATGCACAATGAAATAAGATTAAATATGTATGTCTGAAAATAAGTGAACATTAAAAAGCTACATTTCTTGACTGTCTCAATATCCTCCTATGCAGCAATTTTTGCATAAAATGAATAAATTGGATGAGACCACCAAAAAGTCACATTATGGTGACATTATGTAGTTCACCCTCCAATTGAACACATAGTTTTGACATTATAACCATCTGCATTGACAGAGACATTGTGAATAACCATATGACTGTAAGATTCTGTTGGTGGCCATGTTTAGGTCTAAAGACCAACACATGGCCTCACCATGTGCTGCGTAAAGCTGTGCTGGCAGGTTTCTCTGGTTTTATGGCTGCATGTTTGACAAAATTCTCCCTAATTTCTAAGCTTACTGGCTCACATTTAGTGTGCAAGTCATTATGGATTAATATAATAACTGCATCAAACGTTTCCAATATTACACAAGTTGTTGCTGTGAATTTCTGTTAAGACTTCTAATTTCGGTCTGTTCTCCAGAAACCAGGAATGGATCTGGCGGACACCTTCATTACCTTTGTTCGGCAGAACCAGGACATCCTTCGAGATCATATCAATGATGAGGTCTGCATTGAGAAGGTCTTTGATGTGAGTTCTTAGTATTACAGAAAATGTATTCCTATTATGTTTTGTTTTAAAACAAAAATATTTTGAACCATTCTTTTTGTCCTATGTCTTGTGGTTTTCATACTGCTAACAATATTCCTTTTGAGTTTAATTCATGAACATAGACAACTAAGATATGGGATTTTGTTCTTTTATTAAGAAAAGGACAGTGCAGTGTTTCATACAAAAGAAGGCCAAAGACAGGAAGCACTGAAACATTTTTCCATAGAATGAAGAACATTAGTAGTTTTTTTTTATCCTGGTACACAATTTTTATTTGTTCAGTTTGGTAGCTGAACAATGGGAATATTTCACCTAATAAGAAAAATGTAGGGGTTATCTAAACATGATAAAGCTTACGCCTATTTTTTCTAATTCAAAACAACATGACTCCATGTTGGGAAATCAGATGCCTGTCTGAGTCAACTGTCCCACTCAGTCGGGCATTGGGAATGACCTCACCATGTCCAGTCTCGCATCAAATACAGTGGGGTGAAGAAGTCCTTGACCTCTTCCTTAAAACTGCTTAAATATTAATCAATGACAAAAATAAGCACAAAATGCAGGTTTTAAATGGAGGTGTTGGTTATGAAGGATGATACTAATAATACAAACCTGATTGGACTTGTGTGAAAAAGTGACCAGCCCCTAAACCTGATAACTGGTTGAGCAACTTTTAGCAGCAACAACTGCTAAAAGTTGTTGCTGCTAAAAAGTTGTGCTGTGAATCTTTTCATAGCATCTTTACATAATTTTTCTAATTCAGCCACATTGGAGGGTTTCCAGCATGAACAACCTTTTTAAGGTAATGCCACAGGATTCAGGTCAGCAGTTTGACTAGGCCACTTCAAAGTATTTGTATTGTTTTTATTCAGCCAATCAGAGATGGATTTGCTGTTGTGTTCTGGATCATTGCCCTGGTGCAAAACCTAAGTTGGTTTCAGGTTGATGTCACCAACTGAGGTGGACGTTCTCCATCAGGATGTTTTGGTTAACAGGAGAAGTCATGGTTCCATTTAGCACAGCAAGTTTTCCAGGTCCTGAAGTAGCAGAATTGCCCCACACCATTACACTGCCACCATCACCATCTTCTGCTCCAGGTGTGATGTTTTCCTGTTGGTATGATGATCTTTTTCTGAAATGTGGTGTTACTTGTACACCAGATGTAACAGAATACACACTATCTAAAAGTGTATTCTTCAACTTCTCTCTCATCAGTCCACATAATATTTTTCTCAAGTGTTGGGGATCATCAAGATGAGTTCTGAAAAAACTAAGTCCAGTCTTAATGTTATTTTTGTGCATCTGTGGTTTTCACCTTGGAACTCTGCTATGTATGTCCTTTTTGATCCCTGTCTCTTTTTCATGGCACCCTCAGGCATGACCTTATATGAGGGAAGTGAGGCCTACAGTTCTTGGATGACATTGTGCTGTCTTTCTCAGTGTGATGTTGGTCTATTGTCCACTCATGGGAAGCATTACCATTGTTCCATGTTTCCACCGAGTGTTCAAAACAGCTCTCACTGCTCTAGCTTAGGTACTAGACTCTAGTCCCTCAGCTAGAAAATGGCTTTGTAATCTTTTCTACATAGGCCTCAGTTAGTTTCTCTCTTTATGCTGAATTTTTTCGAAGGTCAGCATAATGTCTAACTTTTCAGGATTGTTTAGTGTTCTTCAATTTGTCAGGCAGGTCCTGAGTAAGTGATGTCTTAACTGAGAACAGGAGTGCCAGTAACCAGGTCTGAATGTGGCTACAGACAATGAATCCATGAATGATAAATTACTATTATGCTTTAAACAAATATTTCATTTTGTGTTTATTTAAGTTGGCTTTTACTAATTAAATTGGTGCGATATTGTGAAAAACGTAGAAAGTCAGGAAAATGTAAAACTCTGTTTCACTCTACTGTAACTCTCAACCAGCCACTTAAGAGCAAAGACCAAGTTCCCATCAGGTCATAAGGGGGAAATTGAAGCCACCCCTGAACTGAATGATGTTTCAGTTCACCTACTAAGCTACAGCTGTCCCATCACAATGACTCTCCGAATACCTAATACATCTAGCAAAGATTTGTTTTCTATGGACTGTCTCGTGTAATCTGTGTTCAACCATCTTACTTCATCATATTTCCAGAAGAGATCACTTCTGTCTCTAACACATAAATCTGCTTTGACCTAATCCAACCCCTGGCTGGATGTTTAGCTGGTTCTCCTGCTGGAAGCTGAACTCCCTCAGGTCTTCTGCTCCAGGATTAATTATTTCCACCCATCCACCCTCACATTAACTTCGACCTGCTTCTCTGTCCCAGCTAAAGGAAATTGTTCTCACAAAATGATTCAATGGTTTGTTTGTAGGCCAAAATACTTCATTTTGGTCTATTCTGAGTGGAGCACCTTTTTCCATGTTTGCTCTTCTACTCAGCACATTGCAACAGAATTTCTTCTGTTTTTTTCTTGTCTCTCTTCTCTTCCACTTATAACTCTCCCCTTGGCTGCTTCATAAGAGATTACTGGTCTCCTCGTCCATGCTGTCAGTCCTGGAGGAGGGCCATCCAGCTGCATTGTGACTGAGAATAATTTAATTGTTGGAATATATTGACTAAAAATGTGAAGTGTGGAGGTAATTGGTTGCTCTGAACTTTATTTAGTGATATGAAATGTGACTAAATGCAATTGATTGCTGAGTTGAAACAATTTGTATAATTTTTCTTCCACTCTTCTTTGTTTTGGTTTATCACACAAGTCCCAGTAAAAACATTTAAGTTTGTTCTTATTGTGCTTATTGTGTGAGAAAATTTGAGAGCTCAGTGCATTAAATACATTGTATTGCAAGGCGTTATGTGTCTTTAGGCAACATATTCAGCAATGAAACCCAACCTGTCAGGATTCAGGAGCAAATCAAGCCTCAAACTCTACATTCATAAACATGGTTTATATACACTCACTACCAGATCCCGTTGTTTTATATAATTGGCAGTGTGATTTGATAATATTTGGGTATTCTTGAGATAATTCTCTAAAGCAACTGACTGGTGTTTTTACTGTTTGATTCTTCACTCTCAGAGCAGCAGGAGGTCTCTGTGATACTGAAAACAGTGTCTGCTTCTATTGACCTGTTTATCACTTAGGAACACTGAGAGCATTTGGCTCGCTCTACGGGAGCCAAAAACCTTTTTACACCTCATCTCATCCATCTCCCATCTCTCTGTCCCATGCTGTCTGCTGTATTCACTGGCTGCTTCCACCTGCAAGATTCAGATTTGAAAGAATATTCTAGCAGGCAGTTTCCTAACACGCCTCATCTCCCCATTGGAGGGAATGCAGTGATTTAGGCATGGCAGTTCAGGACTTGGTACACATTAGCAGCACGAAGCAGAGCGATGGATTTCTGACACCCGTTGGCTCCTCTGAGGGTTCAGAGTGAGCCTCGAGTTGCACTGTGCTGATGGGTGTGTGCGTGGGCGTGTGTGTGTCTGCATTTGAGGGAAGGGGATAGAGGAGAATGAGTCTAATGGAGCTCAGAAGCACCCAGTCATGCACTGAGGAGGAGGTGACAGCAGGGCCTTGAAGTGTCTAAGCTGACTCCTTCGTATGAATGCAACACACACGCACACACACACACTCACGTGTGCATCTTGTGTGTAGCAATAAAAGCAAATGTAACGTTTGACAGCAGCATCAGCCCCTCAACAGTAGTGTTTTGAGTGTGGAATTGTCCTGTTTATGTGCCTCTCAGCAAGTCAATCAAATTCATTTACAGCCTCTCCTTTTTCTTCATTGTTGAATTCAGAAAATCCAGGGTAGGATCATGAAAGATGTGTAGAATAAACACACACTGAGCATTAAGGAGAATTGTTTGCTTGTGTCCGTTACCTAGAGTGAGAGTTGTAGACATCCTCCTCCTTTCCACACAAACATATGGATCACTAACAACTGATCATAAGTTATGCCTATTAGAAATAAGTCAACCAATAACACAATTCAATGGGCTGAATCATGATTGCACTGACTTTGGGTGTGGCCTGGGTTATGGTGCTATCCTAGCAGGTATGAATATTTCTCAAAAGTCTTGAACATTTAAATATTAAACTCCCCCAGATCGCTTCTGGCCTGATGAGAGTTGCTCACTGATGTCTTACATTCTTTTTCTATTTTTTTTGACTGACTAAATTAGATTTTTCACCCAATTATTATTTGGTCCTCCTCTGAACTCATGAACTTGTAATAATCGTTCCTCTCTGCCATGATCTGCCATGATTTACTAAGCTGTGTCACTATGATGTTACTTCTTCTGGGGGCCATGGGGTTTGTGAAGCAGAAAACATACACATTTACCAGCTGAAAGTCCTCATCAACTAGCAGCAGAAAACCACCTGATACCACTCATGTCAGCTAACGACAGGAAACTGAGACTACAACTCTCAAATGTTGGTAGTACTGGTGTATTTCCGTATCATACTTCAGGGCACTAGTTCACCATTATATTAACAAAGCAGCCTAACTGAGTGCTTTTACAGACCCTTTCCATTCCACCCGTACTCATCTTCTGATGACAATCAGTATTTGTTCTCTTTTTACCACTTCTGTATCCATATTTTTATTTAACCAATACATTTTGTTATGGCAAATTCACACCATGGATGTCCAGTTGACAAATCTGGAGCAATTGGATGATACTATTTAATCAAGCAGCTTTTTAATGGCCCTAGTTGCCACAACATGTTCCCAAAGAGAGGCTAGTAAGTGTATGCATGAAGCTTTGAAACCTCTGAGCATGACTTGAGTTGATGTTAGTTGATGCTGTGGATCCAGCTCAATGCTTTATTACTGCCAGCAGCATTAGCCAGCTGTCTTCTGTTGTAGCCAAATGGCCAGGTGCATACTAGCTTAGCCAGTACACACCTATCTAAGTGTAAACTGGACACTATCCAATAGTATAAAGATTTCAAACATTCTATTAGCTCAAACACAAAATGACAGATTTGCTTCAAAATCTTCAACATTAGCTCCTCCCTGAGAACTTGGTGGGAGTTTCTAAAACTAGCCTTCACTAATCCCAGACGTATGCCCATCTGGAAAAACTTTGACATCCTACAACATAATGCTTTGATAAATTTCCCAAGTTGAAAGTGTAAAGAACTATTTGAGGGTAACCCTTTGCAAGAACCCATGTGGAGATTCATTGGGATGGGAATTTTACGGAATTGTGATTGAAATTGTTTTAGGGGTTAAGCTCTGGCTTCCTGGCTCATTTCGACTGTGTAAATGTTTTGGGTTTTTTTTATCTTCTCAGGGCCTCCACCAAAGGTGAGGTCTGTTGCCTATCCCCCTGTCCAGTGGCTGTGCCTCTGCCCACTGGTGTGTCCAAAAGAGGGGTCTAGCTTGAGTGGTTCTCCCAGGAATTTTTTTCTGGTGGCGTGGGGTGCAGTTTTCCCAGGGACAACTAGGGTGGTTCTCATGGGTTTCCCCTGCTCTGCTCTTTTAATGTCAGTTCTCTGTCTTTTTCTTATTTTTTAAATAGTATATTTATAAGGCATGTATATTAACACTAGCAGCCTATCACAAAGATATAACTTTGCAACTGATGGACTGACATGTAGCTTTTTTGTCTCCCAGTTCACATTGGTTCTGTTTATTTGATGTTTGTCACTCAAGGTACTGGCAAATTGGTCAGTAGCACACATGTGTAAACCATGCAAAGATCAACAAGGCAAATCAATATTTCTTTAGTTCATCCCAGTTCTTCTTATGGTGACTGGTTTGCTTCCTAAGTCAGTTTAGCTAAAACACTTACAAAGCAATGTTTGAAACTCAGAATTTATTGGTAAGTTTTGCTGCTAGTAAAAAAAACAAAAACAAAAAAAAAACATTTGAAACTCTCAAGGTCCTTTTTTAAGAAAGCAGGAGTCATAACTAATTCTGGAAGGGATAGAAATCAACTTGGAGAATGTTTGTGAACTTGAACTTTAATTTGTGAATTAGCACGTTTTCTGCTGCTTAGACTGAGAGAAAACTGCTTCTTAGCTTGAGTATAATTAGGTGGCATCCCGGAGGAGATCAAAGGTTGCTCAGACAGTACATTGAATTAAATGTTTATGAAACCATTGATTGATTGTGGACATGCTCTGACTTTTGTCAAGTGCATGAAATGAACTTTGGGTTCCTTTTTTGTTCTCTTAAATTGCAAGGTAATTACAGAATTTGTCATTATTAGTTTGATAGTAATATCCAGATCCATCCAGCTCGATTGCAAGGTAGATCTGAATATTACAGGTCATTAATGTGTCACAGTGATTTTTCTCTGCTTTTTATCTTTCAGCTGGTATCTGAATAAAACCATGTAATGTGCACATTTAAATGCTTCAAATGAATTATGGGTCTGATTTTCTTCTTTTTCTCCTCTGTCTTTTTGAAGTTTAAAGCAAAACCCTGAACTCTTCCCTTGACATGAAGTATTCACCAGTTTCATTAAACTGGTAGTCTTTGAATAAGGGACTATTTTCCCCTCTTTGACTTTTCTTGCTTAATGCTGCAGATTTGTTGACCTTGTGTTTCACTGTTGTGTGCAGCACTGAAGGAAGATGTCAGTGAGTAAACGGCTACCTCTAATGGCAAATAGATAGAGTGTCCTTGATGGACTGAGCAGCTGTCACTGCATTTACACGATGTAGTATAATTTTTTAACTGATATTGGAGCCTGTAAAAGGAATAGTGCAGCTTCATAGACCCACCTCAGACTGATTGCTTGTAGTGACCTAACTTCACAAACAGGATTATGCAACTAGACTCCTGATCCAGTACTTTCCAACTTGTCAAAGCCTGAATTTTTTTCAGTCAACATATTTCTAGCAGGAATGTTGAAGTTTCATACTGAACAAGCTTTTTGATGTCATCTTTCACATAAAAACTTGTCCTCTTCAGTATGCTTTTTCTGCCTCTTACAGCAATGGTACACAAACTCCATGAGAACTGTGTGTGTGTGGCTGACTGACAGACTGGACCTGCAGCTCCACATTTACCAGCTGAAAGTACTCATCAAGATTGTGAAGGTAAGAAAAGTCTTCTAAATTAGAGCAAACTGTCTTGACAATCTCTGCATGGAAACTTCTGTCTGCATTGAAACATTAATGTCTTAACTTTTCCAATAGGCCTGACCTAGTCGCTAATCCAAAAGGCTACAAGACCAAAGTGGGTTTACAGCTTCTTAGAAAAAAAACTTCAATTACATAGTGGGTCTAGAGTGTTTAAGAAGAACTAGTTCAGATCACAGAGGTTAAAACATGTTTATGGCTGAGCTGAAGTCACACCTCCGACATGACTTAGTTCTCATTCATTTATCAGGGTTTTTTTTTTATAAAATGAAGTCATTAAAGATGGTCAGTTATGACTTTTTACATAAGTTCAAATTTAGATGACCCCATTGTTCCGTGGGTTATTTATCCCCACTTCTTTTTCCTCACATAGACTTTATTTAATATGTATATGCAAATTATCTGCAAAGCTGCTGAAAATGACTGCAGTTTTGACTGAAAGTGTCTATTTTAGAGAATGTTTAGAACTGCAGCAGCTGTCAGACAACTGCAGAATGGGTTCTCCTCCTTAAGAAATTTCTGATTCTAATTAAACATAGCAGCTGACAATGTCCTCATTCAAGTTTAAAACAACATTTATGTTATTTCACCTTTACTTCAATGGTCAGAAAGAAAAATCAGCAAGCTGGTTCTCATGGTTAAGACATGATTAATGTGAGATGAAGTAAACACATTGTATTTCACATGAAAGGCCAAGTAAAATACAGACTGCAAGTTCTGGCAGTTGCCATTTCACTGTCTAAAGCAGTGTAATGGCAACTTACAGACTAAGAAAATGTGTAATGATTTTTGACATTGATTAGAGATCTGCACCTCCAGTCCTCAAGTGCCACTCTCCTGCAAACTTTGGATGCACCACTGCTCCACAAAACCTGAATCAAATAAAATGTTCAAGTTTGCAGAACTTGATGAAATTTTATTCAGCTTTTTGATTTGGGTGTGTTGGAGCAGGGATGCATCCAAATATTGCATCCCTGCAACACTCCTCGAGTGTTGCTACAGGACCGTGACAACCGAGGACTGCTGTCTCCTGACCTAGGACCTTCTAACTTGCCAAAGCCTGATTTTTTTTAGTTAAATAAAAAAGTAGATGAGTTGTGTTTCTGCTTAGCTAATTCCAAATACTATAACTGTTATGTTATGACTGAATGTATTACATACAATAAATATAATGGTACACATTAACAATCATGTAGATTATTTTATTGATGCTGGTTCTGCAATATAACATATGTTTCTATACAGTCCATTCTTGTCTACCATCCAAATATTTTAAATCCATGTAAATAAAGCACAAATTAAGCATATACTGTTCTGTCTGATGGCTGATCTCAGGAAAGTTCTTCCAAAATAATTCCATTCAACATTTTGAACATGCAGCACATATTCAAGGACACACTGGACAAAATTAGATACTGTCAGGGCGTAAATACTTCCAAGATTTCTGTAAGTGATGTTGACAACTCTGATAATTGTTCTATTATCTTTGAAAGTGCCATTTCTGTTGACTCACTTAGGTAGAGAGATGTCATTACAAGACATAAAGATAACACAGCTAAAACTTTTTTTAAATAAGGTTCCACCTCCCTTTATTCTGTAACCCAGTAGATGAGTTGGTTGATAATTTCACTTCTAAATTCTCTGATAGTTGAGATAGTTGCTCCTGTTAAAACAAAGATCATGTCTGGTGGGACCAAGCCTATGTCCCAGCAGACATAGGCTTGACTCCTTTCACATCTCCACTAGTGAGATGTAAAAGGAGCCTCTGCCAAAGGGCCAAAGATAAATAGTGTAAAATTCGATTCCATCTTCATTATGAAATCTACAAAGCTATCATTCAACGCTTTAAAGAGAATCGTTCTTTCGAAATCATAAACTAAAACATTAGTGAAGCTTGTGCTTTATTTACCACAATTTTCAGGTTAACAAACCGTTCTGTGACTGTAGCAGCTGGACTCCACTCTAACAGGACTAGCAGTAAATTTGCCAACTTCTTTACAGAGAAACTTTTAGTTCAAATTTAAATAGATTAGCAATGTTTGTGCAATTATAAAAAATTTGTAGAAAATGACACAATTCCACCAACTCAACCATCAGTTAAGCTTCTCCCACTGCTGTTTGAATATCCTACCCACAACTTTTCTTAAGAAAGGTTTTACAGTCTTGTCTGATTCACATAATAAACTCTTTGCTCTCATCAGGTTTCCCCCCCATTATTTAAAAACAGCAGTTGATATAAAGGAACAACCTTGACAAGGGTTCCAACATTTAAACAGCTTCTAAAAGATGAGCAACCACATTGACATCCTCCAGGCTGGTTTCCATGGTTACCACTGCCCTTGTCAAAGTGTTCAATGGCATTCACAGAACAAGCACTGTGGAAGAACCTCAGTGCTGGTTCTGTTGGATCTCAGTGTAGCTTTTGACACTATTGACGGTGACTTATTGGAGAGTTAGGGTTACTCTCCAGATCAGAACTGGTCTCCAGTTGCTGGTTTGAATCTTACATAAACAACAGGATTTCTTTGAGTCAACATATAACTTCTTATCAGACAGAAGTTATATGTGGGGTACCTTAAGGTTCAATCCTGGGACCCATCCTGCTTAATATCCACTGGCTTCCTGTTGCTCAGAGAACAGACTTTTATATACTTGTGCTAGTTTATAAATCACTGAAAGGCTTATCACCACTCTTAATTTTTCTATTTGTTTTTGTAATTTCTATTTGAAATGTACAATACTCATAAATTTGACTAATCAGAGCTCCAGCAGTGGACTGAAGCAGACCTCGCTGAAAATTTAACCTCACACAAATTATCAAAGGTCTGTCTCTAGGTTGAGGACAGCGGAGGGAAAACGTGAAGCAGAGAGAGAATGTCAAAATTCCACACAGGAGCCTCAGCAGACCAAGATGTTCAAACCCTAAATCTTTGTGTGACTAAATAGTGGCTCTTCGTTTTGAGCAATTCATAGGAAAAAAAAAAGTCACAACTGACAATGGAGGCAGTGAAAAAAAAAAAATCACGCAAATGAAGTCGCACTGAAGTCCTTGAAAGCAGCTGTGAGAAGAGGCGCTAGAGATGAAAGCGAAAACCGCTGAAATGCTTTTTGTCTTTTTATAGTTTGTTAGTTTAAGTAGAAACCAATGAGACTCGGAATGATAATAGCTCCCTACTGAAAGTAAAAATCCCTGAGACACTTCACTCTGCCTTCCTGGTTTAACACACAAAAAAGCCTCTGAACGTCCTTCAGCCTCCATCTTCCAGCTTTTGTCCTTTCACATAGTGAATAGCAACTGCCTCCTTCTGCTCTCTACATTCCTCACATGCTCTCTTATTTCTTTCCTTTGCCTATTTACCCATCTTTCTTTCTTGTGTCTCATCAGAAGACCTATCGTGACTTCAGGCAACAGGGTGTGCTGGATGGCACGCTCAACAACAAGAACTACGAGACCGTCTACAACCGGTTGAAGGTGGAGGAGGCCACAGCAGCAGTCAAGGGAGGCAATAGCCTGGAGGGCATCAGCATGAGAGACAGTGATGAAGAGGACAGCTAAACCCAGACACGCCTCCAGCAGCCTCTCTGACATGTCACTACTTTGTTTTACACTTAATAGCTCACACCAAATTTGACATATCAAGAAATACTAGGAATGAATTTAGAAAATTAATCCTGTAAGTGAAAAGGCATATGTACTATTTTATTTGCCAACGTGTCAACTTCCTAATGTTAATATGCTTGTTTTGAATATTATTAAAGGGAAATAGATATCCATGTAATTCTGAAGAATATTTCCACTATGTTAAGACCATGAACTCTGAAGTGTCTGTTTTCCATTGAATATTTTGACTAATCAAACTTAGCACATAAAAGAAGGGAATTTGTGTTTACTCATTTTTCCAATTTAGCAATGCTTCTAGTCAGTTTATTTTATACTGGTGCAATCTGTTTATTTCCCTAAAGAGCTGCCACTTTTGTCAGAAAAAAATCATCTAGAAATTGCATTAAAGATGGTCCAATATTCTTTGTACATGCTTTTGGTGGAGTTAGTGTGATGCTGTGGGACAGGATGTCTATCACAGGAGAACAAAGGCCCTGCATTGTTGGAGTTAAACTGCAGAGCAATATGAGGATGAGATTGGCCACCTTTACTATTAGGGAGCGACCTCTGACATTTATCTCATGCACTGTTAATAGAACCTGTTAAAGAAATAAACTTACTAGCATAATGAGCTGTTTTGCACTGGCTGAGGAGATCTGGCAAGGTTTTCACTATCCCTGCAGTTCAACCAATTAATGAATTGTCCCCACAATGTGTCATAATTTAAAGAGAAATTAACAATCTTTCCAGAAATATAAAATTTATTACAAATAATTATTTTTAACCTTACTTTTTTGATACAAACACTTTCTTCTATTTTTTTGGGCTGAACCTAACAAAGTATGAAGTGCTTAAACTATTTCAGGTATTTATTTAAGTTTCTTTGATACCTAAGATTAAATAAATGGCGAGACTGTAGCTAAAATGTCATTTTCTCTTCACTCACAACTCAGTGTTAGAACTCTGAGATTATAACTGGACTAGATTCATAATTCCATGTAAAAATTATATCCATTTTCTTTAGCCCAAAGCTTAATCAGTTACAGGAACTAGCACCACAAACGGAACCAAATCAGCAACTTAGTTTCATATTTTCAGTTAATGCACCTATTTAAAACTTGGGAGATCATATTTAAAAGTTACTTGCTTTTAATTTGTGTTATTGGATTAGCATGACCTTCTTACTCTCTCTGGCATTGCACTCCTTTTCCATTTTGGGTTGGTCACAAAGCCATAACATCTATCAGCTCTGAGGAAGGGATGAGGCTGGATGATGACTGTGATGCAGCAATATGATGCAAAACAAATAAAGCAGCACTGTTTGTGGGCACATCCAGAACAGATATATGTGATTGCCCTCCTGTTTCTGTCTAGTCAGAGAAATAATTTGATCAGTGGAATCTATTGCAGATAATCTTGAGGTTGTTATAAAACACTCTTTCCTACATTTAAACACTGAGTGTACGTTACAGTCTTGATGTAGCACTGAGCTCAGCTAGATTCATCCCAAGATTATTTGAAGGACACCCATTTTTGCTGCTGGCCTAGCAGCATGTTGTGAAAGCAAACACAGTTTGTGATCTTAATGAATCGGCTTTAATGATGTGAATGACAAAATGATCCATTAAGGAAAGTTCATGGTCACTTGTTGATAGTAGGGTGATGGTCGGACTAAGGGGCTCATGCTGACATGAACGCTGCTGTGAACAAAAAATGACCATTTGTAGTTCTTTACAATCCATAAAATGTTTAAAATATCCGCTGTGCATAATAATTTGGAACAGTGCATTTTGAGTTTTTTACTTTTGAAAAATAATACTGTTCTCATGGGGCGCTTTGTTCAGTAAAATGTGATTTATACTGTAATAGTTCATGACTTGAAAATTATACTGACCATGATTTGCATTGACCATTTAAGAAAGGGTGATGAGAAAATATCACTTGCATAATAATTTGGAACACGGCGTATGAATAAAATACTCCTTTAAACTTTACTGGATATATTTAAGACTTAACTATAAAAGCTAAAAGGTTGCTACTGTATGACATAGTACCAGATTTGACTGGGTTCAGATTTCACCTTGTAAGCTGAAGAGTAGAGAGTGACAGAAACACTTTGACCTCTATACTACTTTGACTATCATAAATGGAACAATAGCCAAAAAAATAGCACTTTCAGGTGAGTGGAAGCTTTGTAAGATGATGTTCCTTGGCAAAGACCATATTTTATGAAGCAGAGCATCAATTTTGCAGTGTTTTTCAAGTGATTGTTTCTAAATGGATCTTAACAAGTTGACTGTCACTCCAGTTTTCACATTTTCGAAAAACTATAAAAACATGTAAACGAGAGGGAATTCCATGGGGATGAAGCCATATTAAAATGATATTCTCATAAAAAGGAGACAGATTATTGCTAGCAATCTGGCAACGAGGATCAGGAACTAATTACTAATAGCTCATTGTGTATGAATTACATATATGTGGAGAATATACATATACAGTGGAGAAGATGGCACAGTTACCTTGCAGCAAAAAGCTCTCATGCTGTTATGTTCTCTATCTGAATCAATGTCTTCTCTACTGGTTTCCTGGATTTTCTCCTAAAGGCTCAAATAAGGCATGCAGGATTTATTGATATCTTTACATTGTCCTCAGGTCTAAGGGTATGTGAGTGTGGTTGTTTATCTTGTTTGGGACAAGACAAAACAAACAGAGTGAACCCCACCTTTCCTCCACGAATGACCACTGGGGATTCACACCAGACCTTAAATTTACAAAGTTTCCCTCACACACTTCTAATTTATGGTGATAAAGTCCTTGTTTTATAACTTGGATCAATTTGAATTTTTGTGTGATTTAGTTGAAATAACTGTCTTGTAAAGTACTTTGAGATATTTGTTGCGAGATGGCGCTATATAAATTGATTTGAATGTAATTATATTTTAGGTGTTACAGCTTCTAGATGCAATTGCTCAATGTGGCACACACCACTGCTCACACAATCGCCGCCTGGTCACCATCACATCACACTGATTCAAGCTGCAGGCCCAGATCCACATGCCAGTGTCATGTTATGTGTAGTAATAGTGTTCTAAAAACAATAAAAGTTCTGGATTCTCCTCATGAGAATCTGAAAAGCATTCTTGCAGACATGAATGTTTCACCAGTATCGTTATGGTGAATGTTCTCAACTTAGAAGTATCTATTTTTTCCTCCCCATCCACCTGATGTGGTGTGGGTTTCCTTCAAACTTGCATCTACTTGGCCAAAGTTAACAAAAACATGTGACTAGCCAATAAAGTCTGGTACATTAATCAGCTGTGAGTTCCCCACACTCCAAAATGTCTCAGGTGTACTCTGTAAACATACTGAAATCAAACAAAAATGTACCATTTTCAAAACATCCCAAACTAATATTTAAAGCACTAGGTGGTTTCTTCATGAATTTATCCAACATTACTAATGTTGGATAAATTCACACAAAAAAGTTGAAACATTTAAAATGTAAAAAATGTTTGAAAACTGCTATTTTCTTAGACACCTTTGTTTTGATGTTTCTACTCTGGTGACTTGTTCCTGATTTTGCCAATGCGCATCACAAATTTTGAATTAATCTACAGCTTCTGTACAAAATAACACTGTTGTCTGGGTGGGTCAGATGATTAAATATTTCAGCTGAAATACATTCAGAGTGCTGTGCTAAGTTGAGTAGACTGACAGTTAGGTTCAAAATTATTCAGACTTCTTTAAGACATTTTGAAATGGTTCTGTAAGTTTCAATTCAAAATTGACACAGAATCTGCGGAGGAAGTTAAAGATTAGGCAAGTAGCCCACCAAGCTCAAACATGTGGAGTTCATGGTTAAAGTTAGATCACTAAAACACCAGAGGAAACATCTAAAAAGCTGCTTGGGAATTGAAAGAAGGATTTGATTGTTGAAATACCCCCCACCCCTCCCCCCAAAAAAGGAAAATTAACAAAAGGGATAAATAATATTTTATATCCTATTTATTTAAAAACTTTGCCTGTTACAATTTGAGTCAGTTTTTGGTTGAATAAATTCAACTTTAAATCTAAATCCTTGCACTCCTTCATGTGCAGCTGTATTCTGTTGTCACTTTAGGTGGAGCAGCTCCCTCCTGTTGTGTTTGTAGCCATAGAACAGCTCAAAGTGGTAGATGGTCTGATCCAGCAGTGCCTCAGTTCTGTGCCATAAGGTTTGTCTTAACAGGATCAGGAAATTGATTAGCTAACAAAAAGCCTTTGTGGCAATAAATGTAGAATTGAAATTCTGATCGTGTGGATGAAATGATTCTATTGTTTCATCGTCATTCTGCAGGCAACCGTGTTGTCCTGGAGAATTTGTTACAACTTCACTTGTTTGACTTTACAGGAACGACAGTTTAATGGTTTTCAGTTAAACAGCCAGAACTCTGTTACTGTTCTCATGTTTAAATTATGAAATCAAAGGCTAGTGCCTTTAAGTTGAAAAATGTCAGTTTGATAATGTGCATTGCTTGAGAGAGTCAGCTGGGATGTTTTTTTCAACTAGTGACAGTTCTATTGCTTCTTGTACAAAAGTAATAAAACATTTGTCTTCCACTTGCACAAATATCCTCTACATTGAGTTGATCTCACATAAAAGTTTTATCAAAAACAATAAAGTTCATGACAACATCTGAAAACGTTCCACTGCAGGTCCAAATTGCGTTCTAGTTAATATATCTAATATAAATTGGTAGGTTTCCAGCTGGTCTATCTTGTTTCCATGTCCAGATGAAGGATTGATCAGAACTCTTTTGTAGAACATAACTGTGCCTCAAACAGAACCACCAGGTTCTCCTTCACCTGGTCTCCAGAGTGATGTTTGGTCTCTGATATTCTCTAAAGAATAAAGTGCATGACACATTTATTATAGAGTTATACTATAATTTTTTTCAAAACAATTTATCAAAATACTTCCACTTCAGTCTGTCACATAATGTGAATAATTTTGAAAGCCGTTGTATTCATGAGTTCTGTTTCAATGTCATTTAGAATAAGTTTGATATTATGCTGATGCTCAAGAGAAACACTAGTGAGGAAGGACAGATTCAACAGCTTATCTTGGTTCTTTAAACAGCTTGTTGCTCACCACAGCTGAACTCTGATACTCTCTTGTTGTTCAAAAGCCTTCATTTACCCGTCAGGTTCAGTTTGCTTCATTTCATCCCAGCCTAAGAAGAACCTGATGCTTTTTATTTTTTGAGCTGTTGATCATAACTTGTTGTAAATGTACAAAAATGTAATTTTGTGCGAGACAGACTGTCTCGCACATTTCTGAATCTCTTGAATGTTGTAACCATGAACAAACACAATGTAGAATTTGTAATAGCTGTTTTGATGGAGTTGTTGAAGAATGTAAATCTAAGATTTAACAGTGTCTTTGTTTTCTCTGTTTTTAAATTTATTCTGGTCTGACTGTTCTTGACTGAGAATTCAAGCCTGTGGAGATGACAAAACTGCTGGAATATTTAATTTGGAATGATGTCCTGTTGTGTCCTTGCTCACACACTTCTAATGTATTTTTGGGAGAGTTCTAAAGACACTCTTCTGAGGTTTTTAGTCCCTCAGGCCAAAAAGGCCCGATAGGACTCCTTCTTCAGCCTGACAACATCCCTCACCGAAGGTGTCCACCAACAGGTTCGAGGTTTGCCACCACGACAGGCACCAACAACCTTGCGACTACAGCTCCGATAAGACGCCTCGACAATGGAGGCACGGAACATGGTCCACTCAGACTCGACGTCCCCCGCCTCCCCCAGGACATGTTCGAAGCTCTGCTGGAGATGGGAGTCAAAGCTCCGTCTCGCAGGAGACTCCACCAGACGTTCCCAGCAGACCCTCACAACACATTTGGGCCTGCCAGGTCTGACCGGCATCCTCCCCCACCACCGGAGCCAACTCACCACCAGGTGCGGAGTGGTCAGTGGACAACTCCGCACCTCTCTTCACCCGAGTGTCCAAGACATACGGCCGCAGATCTGATGAAACGATGACAAAATCGATCATCGAACTCCGGCCTAGGGTGTCCTGGTACCAAGTGCACACATGGACACCCTTATGCCTGAACATGGTGTTCGTTATGGACAATCGATTTTGAGCACAGAAGTCCAACAACAGAACACCACTCGAGTTCAGATCGGAGGGAGCATTCCTCCCAACCACGCCCCTGCAGGTCTCACTGTCATTGCCCACGTGAGCATTGAAGTCCCCCAGCAGAACGAGGGAGTCCCCCGTAGGGGCACTCTCCAGTACCACCTCTAAGGACTCCAAAAAGAGTGGGTAGACTGAACTGTCATTTGGCCCGTAAGCACAAACAACAGTCAGAACCCTTCCCCCCACCCGTAGGCGGAGGGAGGCTACCCTCGCATTCACCGGGGTAAACCCTAATGTACAGGCCCGAGATGGGGAGCAACAAGTATGCCCACCCCTGCTCAACGCCTCTCACCGTGGGCAACTCCAGAGTGGAAGTACATCCAGCCCCTCTCAAGGAGACTGGTTCCAGAATCAAAGCCATGCGTTGAGTTGAGACCGACTATTTCTAGCCGGAACCTCTCAGTCTCACACACCAGCTCCGACTCCTTCCCCACCAGAGAGGTGACATTCCACGTCCCAAGAGCCAGTTTCTGTAACCGAGGATCAAACTGCCAGGACCACCTCCCTCGGCCACCACCCATCACACACAGGGGTCCTATGGGAAAGGACCCCTGTGGCCTTTCCCATAGGTGGTGAGCCCATTGGAAAAGGGACCCATGTTTCTTCTTTGGGCTGAGCCCAGCCGGGCTCCATAGGTAAAAGCCCGGCCACCAGGCGCTCGCCAACATGCCCTACCTCCAGGCCTGGCTCCAGAGTGGGGCCCCGGTGACCCGCGTCCGGGCGAGGGAACACGAGATCCAAAGTTTGTTTGCATCATAGGTTGTACATTTACAGATATATTCAAAGACATTTACAGACATATTCAAAGACATTTACAGACATATTCAAAGCCTGGCACCAAGACAATCATATTCTAGCCTTTTAGTTAATATCTGGTGAGACCCCTGACTTTATAAGATTTTGACCTCTCGTCAAGAGTTGCGTCAACTCCAAGTGTAAATTTAGTGTAGCATAGGAGACCACATATCAATGAAGGATTTCTCATTACCCTTAAGAATGAGCCTTTCATGGGGGGAGGACCCTAAATATTTCTCTATACCGTTGTGTGATAGTTGGTTTATCTTTGATCCAGTTAATTAAAATGCATTTTCTAGCCAAAAGCAATAATTTGTCACACAATTTGAAACGTAATTGTGTCAGAGTTTTGATAGGAGACCAAGATTTAGGGGTTTTAATTTGTTTCTATGCATGGACTCAACTGAGTCCATACACTTTGCATGAAGAACTCTTTTATGTTCCCTAAATCTATTAATGTGAGGTAATGATAATGGATTCAGAAATGATCTAAAGAAGCAAAAGTGTGCCTGGAGCCAGTGAGCACCAGAAGAGGAGTCTGTTTGAAGTGGTTTCTGTCCTCTCTTTGAGGAGCCAAAAGGAAAAACACTACATCAACTAATTTACATTGTGAAGCACCCTAAGACTGTTGACCTTTGCACCCACAGTCTCTATGCTCTTTCCAATCTCTCTATCTTCAGCTCGGAAAAAGACTAGAATGTTCCTTTCACACTAACTCCTCCTAGGAATATGTTGCACATATTTAATTATGAGATGTTCCTTTTTGCAGCCTAAACATTGTTGTTGTGTTTTGTCACTCTTGTTGCAATTTTGAAAGTCAATCAACGCCTCCTTTGTTTCAGTTACTAGTAAATATTCATGCCAGTATGGTTGGCTAACAACTCCCCTAGTCAAAGCCACACCAGGGTTTTTGTTTTATCAACAAGTTGAAAATGGTCTGGTCTTCACCAGATTCTCATATTATCTTCTTCTAACATCACACACACAATCGTTTCTCCATTGTTATTAATTAAACAGAAACAAAGGCAAAAAAAAATAAAATAAAAATTCTCTAAGCAAAGTAAGCTGAACAAGTATGACAGTTTGGAACTGTGATGTTTTTTAAGAAAAAACATCACAGTTGCCTCTTAACCTACAACATGTCTGGAATAATATCTTCTGGAAATAAGAGATGAAAGATGAGAATTTTGCCTATATTGCAGAGCACTGTGTTTGGAAAAAATAAAAAACTGTATACTCTTAGTCCTTTCTTTCTTTAATAATTTGTTTCTTTGTTTCCTTCTTTGTTTCTTTGTTTCCTTCTTTTGATCTTTCTTTCTTTATTACTCTCTTTCTTCCTTTCTTTCTGGCTTGCTTTCATTCTTTGTTTACTTATTTATTTATATTCAGTCATTTAAATTGCTCTCAATTAGGTATAAATATATGTATTTTTTTAGCACTTATGTTTATACAATATTTGTATTAACACCTTGAATGTTTGCTTGCTTCTCAACTAGTAAGCAACTTCCCCTTCTGGAGCAATAACGTATTCCATTCTATTCTATTCTCATTCAGGAAGCAAGGTAGCGGAGCAATAATGATTTGAGCTCGATTCTAGCCGTAAAATCTGTGAACCTTATTAATCTAAGTCAAATGTGAGGCCAATCTGTCCAAGAGCTTAAGCTTGACCTTCATTGCTCGGCATAATTAATAATAATAATAATAATAATAATAATAATAATAATAATAGTAATAATAATAATAATGAAGCAAAGTTGCAAGCAATTGAGCCAGGTTAAAGCTGCTACATGAGATTTAAAAACCGGGTTTACACAATTTTTCATTTTGGCTTAGTAAAGAATGAAAACATTAAAACAGTCACTGCATTTTGAGGTTATATTTAAATAATGTTTTGTAAAAAAACATTAACTTATTAATGTTTATTATGTCCTGAAATAAAACTGAAGCACTGGAAGAAGTGAGAGGGGAATGATTGAAACACTTTGAGGTTTCACATTCTATTTTGGGTTTAGGAACTGAATCCTGTTTTGTTTCAAAAAGAATTTCTGTTTCAGATTTGTCTTGTTAAAATGTTTTAATTACATTAAGTCTAAAAATGAAAACAGACTTACATCATGTTTCCTTTCTGTCCTCATTTTCTGTAAATGTATTATTATTATTATCATTATTAGCGTGTCACTATGTGTATGACAGCATCAATGCTGGATGTCAGTGTGAAGCTCTTTGGAGTCCTTTTGGTCCTTTTATATAAATTGTAGGTCTTTTAGCTCTCATATATTTTTTTAACCGAGAAAGCCTACAAAATAATAAAACAAATAAAATTGATATCAACATCTTTAAACTTTTTTTTTTATATGAAATGTAAAAAACATTTTATATGAAAGATGTGGAGAGCTTGGAAGCCGACTGTAAAAGGAATGTCCTAAAGACCTTCTACGCATCAACGGTTACAGCAATAAATAAAAAAAACGAAAGAAAAAAAATGGACCCTCTGACTATATGTATATAGTCAGAGAGAGAGAAAAGAAAGATTTAGATTTTAACATCGCCTTTATTATTCAATAAACATACCTTTTGCCATTCGTTTACTCCAAACAATCACATAAGCAATGAGTTGAAAATTAGCTTCCCATCAAGCACAGAACATACAACATTATTAAAACACCACAAAGATATAAATTAAACTAAATTATTCATCATTGAAAAAAAACAGAAATTCCGCCTTAACTCTATTTTTTACTATCAGAATAAACATCCTATCAATTTTTCCCCGAAAACTCCATTTATTTAATTTCTTCTATTAATATAAATGGAAAATTTTGCCTGTCCAACAAGAAAGTTTAACAAATTCCACGTACTAGAATCTTTTTTGTATACCCTGCGCCAAATGTAAAAGCTATTCCAGACCAATAAACACCACATTTCTTAAAGACATCTTCCAAACAAATAAACAATGGTGAAAGTCAATTACACTCACGAAACATATGAAAAATAGTTTCAATTTTTTCACAAAAAGTGATACATTTATATCACTTCTGAATTTAACAAAAAACTGTTTACACTTACAGCACCATGCAAAATCCTCCATTGAAGGTCGCTGACCCTCTTATTCAATGGAGGTTTATAAAAAACTCTCCATATTGGTTTCTGATTATCTCCGACTTTAAACCATTCTCTCCAAACAGTATCAGTTCTTTCACTTAGTTGTTTCTTATTCAACCCTTGGGCAGTCAATTTAAACAAACATTTTTTTATTTACCGTAACATATAAAAAATAAAATCTTTTTGATTAACCAGAAGAGAACTTGCCAATCCTGAAAAATCAATATTCAGTCCCAAATCTGGAAACGGATCTATAGAATCAGGGAGTTCTTCATTACAAAAATCCACCAGCATCTGTTTTTCATACAAAGTCAATTTTTCA